TATAAAAATTAGAGAACAAGTTAAATAAATAAATTATAAAAATATTTAATTAAAAATCTAAATCTTTCACTAAAAAATTTATATATAAAATTTTTGAAATTTTCACTCCTATTATTTTGAACGCAACTGTATATAGTATTTTTTTAATATGGGCAATACCATGAAAAGGTAAACCACGACTGAAAAAATAAAACCCTTATAACTTCTGCATTTTTAAAGATAATTCAACAAAATTTGGTATATGATCTTTTGTAGCACCAAAGACGAAGACTGTTGAAAATTTTTGAAATCGGTCTATTTTTACACCTCGCCGCCATACAAACGGAACCGAAAATATCACTTTTTAGCTCATAATTCTGTTAATTATAATACTATCCCTTCAAAAAAAAAAAAAAAAAAAAAATCGGCAGATCTAAACTGTTTATAAGCCTAAACCTTTATGCCGACAAAAAAAAAAAATCGTGCAAAACGAGGTATTTCTCAGCTCTCGATCATCATGAATCCCCTGTATTTAAAGGAGTAATCTATTGCAACGTAAATTTTCAATTTGTAATCAAGTGGAAGATTGGTTTATTGTATTCTGTCAAATGTCAATTGACTTGATATATTATATCGATAGCCTATATTCAAAAAGTGCTAAATCAATAAAGTCTAGTTTTCAGGAAAGCAAAAAAACTATTTAATTCATGAAATATTGCACTCAAAAACAATATTTCTTCCATAATACTTTTTTAACATCCTTACTAATTCTTACCTATGAAAAAATTTTAATATTTTGCACATTTTAGCGACTTATTTAAGATAGCACTTTTTGGTCGACAAAAAAACAAATATTTGTTCTAAGTTAGCATGTTTTGTTCAAAGAATAGAACAAAAATTTCTACTAATAATATGCGTTATTTTATAATTTTATGAAATGTTTTTTTTTTAAGGGATTTAAGTCAAACCAGTAAGTCCAATAAGATGCATTTACACCATTTAAGTAGAAAAACTCATGGCATATCTGCTTGGTTACTATTCCTTATTCTCAGTACAAATATTTTAAATTATGAAAAGTTTTTGAATATAAAAAGTACCAATATTTTTTGAATAATACTCCATAATTTGCACATTTAAAGACTTTTTTATAATCAAAATTCTAAATTGGAACCATAGAATATTATAGATCTTAGTGTTATAAACGATTTCTGAAATAACTTTACAATTTTCGGAAAAACATTATTTAAAGTATAAAACTGGTTTTATATACAAATATATAAATGATCATATCTTAAAAACAATACATTCAATTTATTAATCTTCACCTGTTTTGTGTTCAGCATGTTCATCTTGTTAATATACAAAATAAATTTTAAATAAAATTGAAGTTTTAAAAAATGTTGTAAAATTTGTATGGAAGTTAGCACTTATTTTCTTCAATAAAAATTTAACTTTGAGATAGCATATTAACAAAAATTGTTGTTAAAAGTGCAAAAAATACTTTTTTGGTTTCAAATTTATACCAGACGTGGATCATGCATTGAGGAATCCTTTTGCATCAAAAACTCACTTTGCCCAAAATTGAGTTCGCACTTTTTGAATATAGGGTCACGATATGTAATTCTATATCCACATAAATATCCATATCTCAGTATGTTTGTTAAAATAAATTTTCGATATAGGTCGCAATTTTGATGAAATTTGGCACATACCCTTCTTTTAACCCATGGAAAAAAATCGGTACATTATTTCGCCTTGCCCCATAAAACATACATCCGAATAGGTCTTTTGAGCTCATAATTATGTTAAATATTCTAGTATCTCTACTGCCGATTTTCGTTATGATCGGGCCTCATTTGACCCTAGTACAGAAAATGACTTAAAGGTCAAAATTCCTTTATAAACACTAATTACTTTTGGTAAATCTGGCAAAAAATTGGGGGAACTATTTACGTTAATATAAAAGTTATTTATGCTGAATTTTATCGTGATATTAATATAATTAAGAGAATTATGGAATTAAAGACACTTTTTGTTTGGGTTTGTATGGGGACTAGGTTTAAATAACCCAGGAAAAACTTACATTGAACAGTAATGAGTTAAAAAGCTAATAAAACCTCTTTTCACTACTTCTTCATTAGCATTTTAAGTCATTATTTTAATACTTACAAATAGGGAGTTAAAGAAGTAAGTACTTGCAATTTCTCTTACAAAACAGTTGTTGAGTAAGTTGTTTTGTTTTTTAATATTAAAAAGAGCCAGCTAGAATACGAACCAGGGACTTCGGTTTGCACCACTGCTCAGCTATTTTATTGCGCTTCAAATAATGGTTTTCACATACAAAACTAATTTTGTTTTATTTTTTGTAAAACACAATTCTTAAAACGCAATTAAATAAAATGTGCAAACAAAAAGACAAAGCCGAAAATAAAGTACGTCTATATCATATTATAAGAAAGTCATTACTAGAGTACTTCTAAGTAATGCAGACGGTAAGTAGTATTCATTGAAAAGTAAGTGGTTATGGAAGTACAACCCATTAACGAGTTTTTGCTGGGAAGGTCCGATCAATAAAAAAATAACGATGTCAATTACCAATGGATTTTAAAAAGAAAAGTAGCGTTTTATATATGAACAGGCATATTTTTCTAGTGCATTAATAAATAGTACGATTTCTATATAAAATACTTTTTAAAAACATCTCCAAACTTGGAAAACGGGGCAAAACTAAAATCAAAAACATATTTGCCGATGAAATGTATACAGGTTACTTAAACATCATATATGTATGTCATTATAAAGGCCTCAGCTTCTGATTTCTTAATCCGTTGAGAAACTTAAAATCGGTTGGGATTCAACTAAGTTACTGACTTATAAGTGCTTAAAGGTACAAAATCCCGGTTTTTACAATATCTCAAGATTTTGGAGGTGTTTGGCAAATTTTAAAAATAGATTCTTCTTTTACTCGGATCCACCTTTCAGAAAAATAGTCGTACTATGAAACATATGAGATGTTTCCTTAAATTTGTCAACCTCAGAATTACTTTGTGCTAGGGAAGCTTTAAAGAACGTTTGTGTCTTCTTTGGAATAGTTATGGAACAAGTTATTTTCCAATCTTGAGAAACTTTTGAAGAATTAATACTAGTTTAATTACAGATGTACATATATACATACATATTATTTTTCAGAGTAGGTAACGATTACCTTTAAAAATAAAAAGGATATTATAGATCTTATTATACCCACCATCAAAAAAGATGGGGGGTATATTGAATTTGTCATTCCGTTTGTAACACATCGAAATATTGGTCATAGACCCACAAAAGTATATATATTCTGGGTCCTCATTAAATTCTAAGACGATCTAGCCATGTCTGTCCGTCCGTCCGTCTGTCTGTCTGTTGAAAGCACGATAAAGTCCGAATGGAAAGAGCTAGAGGGTTGAAATTTCACATAAATATTTCTTATAGGTAAGGTTTGTTTGGTATTGAAAATGGGCAATATCGGTCCACGTCTTCGGATAGCCCCCATACAAGTGGCCCCTCGAAAAGCAGCTTTAACAGCCATAACTTGTTTAAAAATACGAATATAGCGATGAAATTCGACATAAGTAAGTTTCTTGTGATCCAAAATCAATGTGCAAAATTTTATGAGGATCGGTCCATAATTGACCCTACCCCCCATATAAGGTCCCCTTCAGAAAATGACTTTAACGCTCATTGCTGGCTTAAAAATTCTAGTATATAGATGAAATTCGACATAAGTAAGTTTCATACGAGTCAAAATCTATCTAAACAATTTTATGTTGATCGGTCCATGATTGACCCTACCCCCCATATAAGGTCCCCTTCAGAAAATGACTGCAACGCTCATTAATGACTTAAAAATACGAGTGTAGCGATGAAATTCGACACAAATAAATTTTATACGAACCAAATTCTGTCTACCAAATTTTATGAGGATCGACCCATAATTGACCCTACCCCCCTATATAATGTCCCCTTCAGAAAATTACTTTAACGCTTATAACTGGCCTAAAAATATATAGATGAAATTAGACATAAGTAAGTTTCATTCGAGTCAAACGAGGTTTGGTGGTGGGTATATAAGATTCGGCATAGCCGAATATAACACTCTTACTTGTTTTATAATTAACTTTACAATTAATACTTTTAAAATTCTGCATTTACATACATATATATAAATTTTATAAATATAATAATGTTTTTATGCAGTATATACAAATATGTACGAATGTCTGTCGAGGTATGTTTCTAGATATTTGAACATAGTATGTCTGTATATCTATTTGTAATTGTTTACGGGTGGTTCGCAATAATAAAAAAATATTATTTTTTTTCTTTATTTCGTTCTGTATGCTATTTTTAGACTAACCGTACTATTGTGTACGAAATGAAAATTAAAAAAAAAACACCGTGTTGTGTGTCAACAGTCAATAGTGTAGTAGTCGTAGTTGTAGTTCTAGTAGTAAAATGTAAAAACCTCTATTCAGTCGTACATATACATTTTATATGGATAGAGATACATGTCAAAGGTAGCTGAACTTTTTAGTAGATATTGGAAAAAATTGACTATCACAAAATAAAAATAACAGGAAATTGTAAATGATAGTCGACTAGAGAAAAATGTATCAATGTTTGTGTATATTTTCAAAAGAACAATCGATTGGGAAAAACAAAACAATTGTTTAAAAATAGATTTGTATTTGTCCTTGCGGTGAATCTTCATGGAGCAACGAAGATTTAAAACATTTATAACAAACTAAAGACTTTAAAATGATAGATAAAAGTATTACTAAGTTGAAAAGTGCTTGAATTTATAGCTTGTATTAAAATCAATAATTTCCATTCCAGTTGAACTATATCTTGAGAAATTGTTGAATGAATTTTTACCTAATCTGAAATCGTATATTCTTCCTTAACTCTAAAGCCTAATCTTAAGAAATTTCTGTCAACTATAATATATTTATGGGAAAATTTCTTAATTGTAATATTTTAAGGTAATGGAGAAGCTAGTTGGTGCTTCTCACAAATAAAAGGAGCCTTAGATGATGATGTCACCGATGCAGATATTATATCCTGTGTTGAATTCAATCACGATGGCGAGTTGCTGGCAACTGGTGATAAAGGTGGACGTGTCGTTATTTTTCAGGTGATTTAAAACATTACATTTGTTAATTTCTTTAAAAATGTTTAATAAAATTTATATTTTTTTTAAAATAAACACAGCGTGATCCTGCATCAAAAACGGCAAGTCCACGACGTGGTGAATACAATGTCTATTCGACATTCCAATCGCATGAACCCGAATTCGATTATCTCAAATCGTTGGAGATCGAAGAGAAAATCAATAAAATTCGATGGTTAAGAAGAAAAAATCCTGCACACTTCCTGCTCTCGACCAATGACAAAACGGTTAAATTGTGGAAAGTCAGCGAGCGCGACAAATCCTTTGAAGGCTACAATACCAAAGAGGAGAATGGCCTAACAAGGGATCCACAAAATGTGACCGCCTTACGAGTTCCTTCTGTTAAACAAATCCCTCTAATGGTCGAAGCATCACCCAGACGCATTTTCGCCAATGCCCATACCTATCACATCAATTCGATTAGTGTTAATTCAGATCAAGAGACTTATCTATCGGCAGATGATTTACGAATCAATCTGTGGCATTTGGAAGTGACCGATCAAAGTTTCAATATTGTCGACATTAAACCGACCAATATGGAAGAGTTGACCGAAGTGATAACAGCTGCTGAATTCCATCCAACCGAGTGCAATGTATTCGTGTACTCAAGTTCAAAGGGCACAATACGTTTGTGTGATATGCGCTCGTCGGCACTGTGCGACCGACACAGTAAACAATTCGAAGAGCCCGAAAATCCAACAAATCGTAGTTTCTTTAGCGAGATCATTAGTTCAATAAGTGATGTGAAATTAAGCAATTCGGGTCGCTACATGATCTCCAGAGATTATTTGAGTATTAAAGTATGGGATTTGCATATGGAAACAAAACCCATTGAAACGTATCCGGTAAGTTGATTGCTAATCGTATAGTTTTTGTTTTGGTCTGTATTTTTATTTAAGTGTTTTTACAAACATAAGAAGAATTATTACTTAAAAATTCCTTTTAATTTCATAAGATATACTTTTTTCCCAATTTGTTAATATTCTTTTGTTATTTATTTTCCAGGTCCACGAATATCTACGGGCCAAATTATGTTCTCTCTATGAGAATGATTGCATTTTCGATAAATTCGAGTGCTGTTGGAATGGCAAAGATACCTCAATAATGACCGGCAGTTATAATAACTTTTTCCGTGTATTCGATCGTAATACAAAAAAAGATGTCACCTTAGAGGCCTCCAGAGACATTATAAAACCGAAAACGGTGCTAAAACCACGTAAAGTTTGCACTGGTGGCAAACGAAAAAAAGATGAAATCAGTGTTGATTGTTTAGATTTCAATAAGAAAATATTACATACCGCTTGGCATCCGCAAGAGAATATAATAGCTGTTGCAGCCACCAATAATTTGTTCATATTTCAGGATAAATTCTAGCCTACATTCATCTTCTTTTATAATATTGTTATTATGTACTCTAAATACACTATAACTTTCCTCTAAACAGAAAAAAAACATTAAAAGAAAAGAAAACAAAAAACAAGAAAAAAAAGAAAACTGAAAACAAGCCTTTCAACTTTAGATTTCTCAAAGAAATACAAAAAAAAAAACATAAAACAAAAACAAGTATCGTTTATTTTTCTATTGCATCAAATTATTATTTCTAAAAGTCTTAAGTTTCTTCACCCCCACCATACTCTTTAACTGTCACTTTTTAATTTTATTTAATTTAAGAGTTGATTTTTATTGAAACAAATTCAAAGCAAAAGGTCTAGTAAAATAGTTGAACATTTACAATTTTTATTATTTGTTTTAACTAGTAATAACTTGTATTTGGAATATTTCCAAATATATTAAAACTAGTGCAAAACAAACGTATTTAGTAATACAAGAAAAATCGCCTAAAAGTGTTTAGGAAAATCACTCAAATTTCCATTTTGCAAACTGAGTGTACTTCTCTTAACATTTAAAGATTTTTTATTTCCATTTGTTTATTTATATTTTACTAGACCTTTTAGCATTTATTTGTTGAATAAAAACTCTACAGTCTAATCTAAAACTTGTTGTAATTTTAATTTTCTTAAGTTGATTTTTCCTTAATTTGTTTCTCCGAATCCTTAATCTTAATTAAAGCTTTATTGTATTCTATTCTTCTTTTTTATATCTCATTGTCTTTACTATAATTATTATTAAAAATCATATGCCATAGTGTCAAAATATAAAATGCCTTTTTTAAACACGTACTCTTTAACTCTTTTTTGTTTTTTTTATAGGAAATACTTTATTTTATATAAAACTCAAAAGAAGAAATTTAAAATTTAAGTAAACTAGCGTTTTATTTTTTTAGTTAAGCGCTATTTTTTTTGTAATGTTATGAAAAGAATATGAGTAAAAATACTAAATTAAAATAAAATTAAAAAATAAAAACAAAACAAATTATTATAAATAAAATAAGTAAACAAAAACTCCTTCTCCTCCATCCGCTTAATACCCCTGTTCTAACTATCCATTCATCAAAAAAAAAAACAAAGGAAAATATAAAGAAATAAGAATAAACTTTAATAAAAGAAAACAAAATTCGTAAAAATCATTAAAACAAAAACTTTTATTTTTGATTTCCCTGTTCATTTTGTAAGTTTATATTAACATTTTGTAATTGTTAAAAATTGCTGAAATGTGTTTTTTAAAAACAAATGAAAAGAAAAAAATATAAAAAAAAAAATTATTCATTAAAAAATAAATTTAAATTATCCCTCAGATCATCTGTTGCTTAAAGTAATAAAGAGAAAACGTGAAAATTTCGAAAGAAAAAAATCAATAAAAAAAATCAAATTTTAAAACTGATTTAAAACATAAAAATGACAACGGTTTGACTGTTAAGCTTTACTATATAAGTCACAATATTTTTACTTTATTTAATATAAACAACAAATTTTGTTTTATCTTCAATTAAAATATTTATTTCATACTTCTTACTTTCAAATAACAGAAAAATGCGTTAAAAATTAAAAAAAAGATAAACTTATTATAAGACGAATTAATAATTTGAATAAAAAAAAAATAAATACATACAAACAAAAACATACAATTTAAAATTAATTTTGAAAGCTCAAGTCATTTGTATTATGTATTGTATTTAAACAACAATTAGCTATATAGATCAACTTAATCAATAATTCAATAGAAAGAAAAATTAAATCGATAATTTAGTTTACAGTTTAGTATGGGAGATTTCCATTTCGAACTTAAAACCTAAGAAACTAATGGGCAACTATAAATTTTCCATATTTAAAGAATTAATTTATTTCTAAATTAAAAAAAGAAAAAAACAACAATTTATGAAAATTCTTGAGTAATGAAATTTACAATTTAAACTGGTAACTGTTTGGTGATATGACATGACAATTATGTAATCCCTAAACGAATTTGGTCCCTTTTGGATATTCGAAAAAAAATTGGCTGCTTTTCTAAAAACAAAAGTGAGTTTAGGAAAACAGACATTTAATGGAAGACTTTCGGAAAATTTGGAAAACTTGATTTGTGTTGAGTTTTAATTTTTTAGAAGGGAATCATTGAAGCAATACTTTTATATCCTACTCCACTATAGTAAGGAGGGTTTTATGCGTTTTTGCTGATATTGGCCCCACATTCACCTTAAAGTATACTAATCGGCTCAGAATCAGTTTCCGAGTGCATGCTACAACTTCGTAATTTTTTAAATAATTTGATACAATTTCGCTTTTCCCAGGACGAAGACTACAGATAATCACCCCTATCGCCAATCAACATTTCACGTGAAATATGTTCCCTTTCACTTTTTTCGTTCACTAACTTTTATGACGTGAAAAAAATCCCTTATGAAATTTTTTGATTGATTAATTATTGTGAATGAATTGTGAACTTGCGTTCACGATAGAAATTTTCTCTTCGAGGGGAATGAAATTTTCAAGGAAACAAAAATTTCACTTCTATTGGCGATAGGGGAAAATATCTCTTATATATGTCCCAAACGATTATCTGAAGATGTGTTCTTATTTTTATCCTGCACGTTATCTAGTATGTCTCTTTCTTATTTTCTAGAAGTATTGCTTTCGTATTGCTTAGGAGTAGCAGTATTATCCATTCCAGGGATTATAGAAACACTTCACAAAATAATTAAAAACATAATGGATCATCTAAAATGGCTTATCGACTTTGCGATTTGAGTAAATTAAATATAAATTAGAATTTTATATATAAAATGTGGATAAAATGTTATATATACATCTTCTTGGAACTTTCTTAGGAAATGGGGAAAATCGGGAAAGATTTGGACCCGTTGATAGCAAAAAACAGGTAAGCTCATGAGGTCAAAATTCAAAACTTAAACTCGACAATATGTCTTCTTATGCTGTTAAATTTCACTTAAATCGTCAGTCTTAAAGAGCGATATGTATTCACATTTATATAATTTGGCAAGCTGGAAGTTCTGTTCTGCCGTAACATAAACGTAACACGTTTTGAAATATACAAATTTTAAATCAATTTAAAAAATAAAATCTTTGCAAATATGCTTAAGTTTCTAATAGGTTTTTAATTAAAATCGATTTTATAATATTTTTTTCAACTAATTTCTTGGCCAAATTTTAATTAACATCATAAAATTTCCTTCGAAACATTTTCCAATCACAAATATATAGAAATGTTAATTTCGCCATTAAACATTAATAGTCTTTTTAAAAGCGTCTATCGCCAGATATGAAAACACATAATAAGTCAATAAAAATTAATTAATTATATAAAAAAAACTTTAGCTAACCAAAAAAGGCATTATTTCCCAAAAAAAAAAATTATATTTTAGTTTTTTAATAAAATATCACATCAGCAAAATATTTCTTTAAAATAATTTACTAACAATAAAAAAAAATTATATTGTATATTTTTTATAATCATATAAAACATTAACACATTACTTTGCACGTTAATATATATATTTTTTTTATCAGCCTCTTCTGTATTTAAAAACAATTTTGTAAATAATTTGAATCAACAATTATAGAACTAAACAACAAAAAAGTTTAAATTAAATACGAACAAAAATATACACAATAATACATAATATTATAAAGTGTAATATTACATTAAATTAACAACAAAAACTTACACACTGAAACACTTGGCTACATTTTCATACATTAAAAACAATATTAAAAAAATAAAAATAAAATACACGCATAACATACATTATTACAAATATTAAGATTAAATAACAAAACAACAAATTGCTAAAAAAAAAAAGAAAATTTTATTAAAAAAGGACAGAAAATTTAAAATAAATAAGAAAAACAAAAAAAAAAAATTTACTATTTAGTTTTGCAAGCAAATACAATTGAATGAATTAACAATGAAAGTAAATAAAACAAATGTTAACAATGACAAATTATGATAAAAAATAAATCGGAAGTTTTATTGCGTTAGTAAAGTGTTAAGATCGAGGTTGTCCAAAATATAATAAAGTAAGCGTCCAGTTTCTACAAATCACAAACATTAAACTTTGTATGTCCACATTTAATTTAACTCGACTAAACCTGGTTGTATATCGATATTACCCAGCAAAAAATATTTGATGTCATACTTTACAAACGACATCTTAATCACATCTAAAAATGCGATAACATATTTTTCGCTTTTTTTCTAAGTACATCAAGTTTTGGTGAAAGACTAATGAAATTTACATAAGTGTGTCATTGAAAGAATGTGGTTTATTTTTGACATTCAAATATAGGATTTTAACTGCTTCTAATAATAAGATTAGATGTAGTTCAAAGTTGTCAAAAATGAACAACATCCCTCCAATGACACGCTAATGTAAAATTCATAGTTTTTCACCCGAATTTGAAGTACTTCAAGTTACTAGTTGTGATGAAAATACTACATCTTTTTCCACACTTTTTTTGCTGGGTAATGATATGATCCAGGCATGGAAAATTTAAATTTTGAAATAGTACTAACTTATATGAAAGTAGTACTTTTTGGGGTTTTAATGTACTAAACTAATTTTCCTAGACTAGACTATATACTAGACTATAAACTAGACTATATACTAGACTATACTATAAACTAGATTATGACTAGATTAAAGACTAGACTATAGACTAGACTATATAGCTTATAGACGAGACTATAGAATAGACTGTAAACCAGACTATTATCTAGACTATAGACTAGACTGTAGACTAGACTATGGACTAGAATATAGACTAGACTATATACTAGACTATAGACTAGGCTATATACTAGACTATAGACTAGACTATAGACTAGAATATAGAAGAACTATAGACTAGAATATAGAAGACTATATACTAGACTATAGACTAGACTAGACTATATACTATACTATAGACTAGAATATAGACTGGACTATAGACTAGACTATAGACTAGACTATAGACTATACTATAGACTAGAATATAGACTGGACTATAGACTAGACTAAAGACTAGACTAGACTAGACTAGACTATAGACTAGACTATAGACTAGACTATAGACTAGACTATAGACTAGACTATAGACTAGACTATAGACTAGACTATAGACTAGACTATAGACTAGACTAGACTAGACTATAGACTAGACTAGACTATAGACTAGACTATAGACTAGACTATAGACTAGACTATAGACTAGACTATAGACTAAACTATAGACTAGACTAGACTATAGACTAAACTATAGACTAAACTATAGACTAGACTATAGACTAGACTAGGCTATAGACTAGACTAGACTATAGACTAGACTATAAACTAGACTATAGCCTAGACTATAGACTAGACTATAGCCTAGACTATAGCCATAGACTGGACTATAGATTAGACTAGAGACCAGATTGTAGACTAGAATTGACTTCAAACTGGTCTATTGACTACTTGTGGACTATTATCAAAAGTTAATATGTTAAAAAAAATTACCGAAAATATCGCAGTATTTTTCGATATGAAAAAGTATTGAAAAAAGTACTAAAGTACCGAATTTTCCATGCTTTATATGATTATCAGAAGGGTGACTTTGTGTTGACTTGTGTCAATTATGAACCGAAAACTTAAGAAAGAGCGATTAATTAAAATAAACTGAATCGAATTCGATTTAGCGATGTCAGTCAATCTCAATTCATTTCTCTTATTTCATTGAGTGAAAAAATTTATAACTGAACTGAATCGAATTCGATGTACCGATGTCTGTACACTATCTTATGGGGGTGTTGTGTTATAGGATCAATTATGGCTTGATCTTTATGAAATTTGATAGAGAGATTTTACATCATAAATTACTTGTTTATTTCAGTGAATAAACAATTTTTATAACTGAACTAAATCGACTTTGATTTAGCAATGTCCTTCGCTCTCATTTCTCTTATTTTAGTGAGCAAAAAAATTAAGAAAATTTTAAACAAATGTTAAAATTTTTTTTATAAAATTAAAAAAAATTAACTTTTTATTTTTCCATTACCTACCTACTTATTTTTAAAATTTATTTTTAATTATTTAAAGATGTTTTAATCTTTAAACTCAAGACTTAAGACACAAATATGTAACAAGCTATTTCAAAAGACTTAAGACACAAACTTCTGATGCTTAAGAGAGATCGAGAGAGTGATGATGAGAGAGACAAACAATTTTCATTATGCAGACGAAAGACTTAAGAAACAAACTTCTTTTCTTTGAAATAAAAAATTTCAAGGCATAAGGAATGAAAAAAGTTCCATTGAATTTTTTCTACATAAAAATGTGAAAAATTTGTATGATTTTTTTTATATAAGACATAACAGAAGTTAAAGTTATTTTCAAAGTCATCAGATTGGACTTTCAGATGACATAACACAATTTACATATGTATTTATGTAAATAAAGGTGAATTCGAGCTGTTATAAAGTCACAAATATGGCCAAAGGGGTTTTTTCAGGACACGATATATCATGATATTGGAGGCCTTATTCTCAGCTTAATTCTTTAAAAAAGTATGCGTGTGGAAGTAATGAAAACAAAAATGTATTTACCAATATCCTTTCACTTATTTTTAATATAATATATTTTTTTGTAGAAGATATACATATGTATATATATAAGTAATTCAAAATTCTTAAGGGTAAATAGGAATAAAGAGAAAAATATATAATCATTGAGAATCATACTCAAAAGAGACCGGTAACTAATTTCAATTAATTTTTATTCACTCTCTTATTGAATTATTTGAAAAAAAACATAACAAACATTTTCAAAATTACAGTTATAAATGTAATTAAAAATTCTACTCACGTTACTCTCGGTTTTTTTAACGATTGTTCCCTTTTGTATGTTTTTGGTATATGAGAGCGCATTGACCATTTAACTTAACGAATACGATGCATACCAAACCAAGTTAAGACCAACCAAAGCAAAAATGAAGCCAACGTTAAGGCCAAGACTTGGTTGAGTTAAAACACACAATCTTAGTTTTAGTTTAAGAATAACCACGCTGCGGTAAACACGCGAATTTGAATGGATAAATAAAAGTGAAAAAAAAAAAAATAAATAAACGCTTAATAATAACGAAACAGAAAAGTGGTAAAGTGGGGGGGAAGCATGCGCACATACCAAAACCAATAATAAAGTTAAAGTGAAACAAGTTTTTGATCGGTACAATTTCGCATGATACAACAAAAGTGATGACGCAGAGTAGTAAAGCCAATGTGTGATCGCAGTAATTGTTGTTGTTTTTGTTGCTATATCTGTGATAATGCAATGAAATTTCTTCATATCTGAAAGTGATTCATTAAATTGTATACCAAACGAATGAAAACATAATATTTTCTTAACAAAAAGAAATAAAATAAAGAAAAAATATGCACTAAAATAATAAAGAAAAACGAAAAAATTTAATTACCTTAAAAAAAAAAAAACAAAATTAAAAAGAAAAAATATACCACGTAGTCACTAAAATACATACATTATATTGTTTGTATCTATAAATTGTTTTCTTTAATTATTTTCTGTTAAAATGACATTGAATACGTTGTATTCAATAAGCGGAAGTCGTTGCCGTAGTGTAACTTTTAATAATTTTATAAAATTCAACTGGTGTTTATATGTAATTATACTTGTATTATATTTACAATCTCCTTCGCCAACTAGTAAGTATATGGTTTTCAAACAATACTAATCTCAAAACAACTGCAGAATTATTTTTGTAATTTTATTTTTTCTAAATCTAACAAGTTTTTCTTGGTGTATTTTATTAAGTTTCCCTTTCAAGTTTACTGGAGTAAAAAAAAACATTGTATATACAAAAACAAAAGAGTATTGAAAAAAAAAAAAGAAATTCACTTTCGTACAAAACTAGTGAAACTGGTCTACTAATGTTGTATAAAAATTTTTAAATGTAGCTAAAATAAAATAATATCGACGTTACTTTTAAGCTTCGTTGTATCATGTTTATAATATGCTGCATATCATTTTATTTTATTTTTTATTTTGCTAATTAAAAAGCACAACAAAAATATTTTTGTGATTTTTTTTAAATATACATTGCTGAATTTAATAGGTCGCCTTTATTAGTATTCACAAAATAGAAGATTTAATTATTAGGTTTCAAAAAGATTTTTTAATAGAAATTATCAACAGAAAACAGTATATATGTATGTACATATTTTTTTAACAGAAATTTAAAAGTAACATAATTTTAAATTGAAAATAATTTTTTATAAGAAAAAATTTAAATCTGCTAAAGTTTTCTATATGTATATCAAAAACATAATCTAGCAAGGTGAAAAAATTAAAACATTTTCCAATTCGATTGGAAACCCATAATAGCCTTCCCACTATAGTGATATAGGGTTAGAGTTTGGGGTTGGTGAAATCCCGTCCGGGAATTGGATTTTATAATTTATCGGCGATTTTGTTTTAAAGACAAATCACAAAACATCGTTAATGGTGTAGAAGAAAATAAAAAAATCCTTAATTAAAAACTATCAATCTATGTAAAAGCTTAAGTTGAAGCAAGTTCAAATAGAAACAAAAATCTTTAATGCATTTCTAAAGCCAACGTCTATGAAAGCGTTTGAGTTATCTCAGTAGCTGGAAATGTTTCACAAAATAACGGAATAGTTGATCATTTCTTATATTTAATTAATTCTAAGGAGTAAGAATGAATCTTATAGTAATTTAATACTTAACTATACATCTGCCTATGGAGTATATGATCTGGTTAGTAGTGGTATGCAAACTATCTCACCAAGGTTGGCTATGAAGTAACTGCCAAAAAAAACAGTTTCTCTTAGCGGTTAGAACAGGATATTCACAGAGAAGATGGAAGACCGTTTCTTCCTTTTCCCTGCAACTGCGACAGTACTCAATGAAGGGGAGTCTAAGCCGACTTGTGCCTAGCACCCAGTGTCCTGTTATTACAGCTATCAACCTCGGTATATTCCGCGTATTTCGGGTTATAAGGTATCTTGTGCGTTTCTCCTTGAAACAAGGCCTTAATGACTTAGCCCTATGCGCAGGGGCCCAAACAAGGACAGATCATTCTTGCATTGTCTAACTAATAGGGAAGTGGTAGTATAAGAATTTAGTGAAAGAATATCCGCTTGATTATCGACAAGAATTCCTATGTTGTCGCGAGTATTGAGATCATGTATAGTAGTATCCTACAGACTTGATTTAAATTGATTTAAAATTTGTCATTGGCAAAATTAAAAAAATGGTTTCATTTGTTCTCAAAAGAGATAATATTTTAGTTATCGTTAAACTTATAAAAAAACGTTATAAATTAAGTTTTATATAAATTCCTGGGAATCCGGGGAAATTAATCTTTTCCCGGAAATTGAAAAGTCCGGGAATTCCCAAACTCTATATAGGGTATAAATAACCCCAGTTTATTCGTCAAATAATTATTTGGCATAGGATATTTTGTTCATATATTACGGACATTTTATATGATTATATATAGTTTCTCTTAAATCGGTTGAAAATAAAATAATATTTTACTATGGTGTTTGATCTTCACAGTTTATGGGTTAATATTATTCGATTTTACTAAAACTTCAGATGTATGTTTCCTATTATCTTGAATTGTTTATTCTAAAAAGTTTTATATAAAATGCGTAACGATAAAGAATAAAGACTGTTTTTCAAAAATTTTACCAAAAATTGTTTTCTCCGAAATAATCAAAATTGAAATCGCAGGTACCGCTAATATGTGAGAGATATCGACCTAATTTCTTTACTCTTTTATTCCCCTTTTTATTATTCATAAGTCACATGGAGATTTTCTTAAAATTTTAAAAATTGCTTGACAAAATTGCTAAAAGTTTAAAACTGTCGTCTAAAGGTTTTCTCATTTATAACTATACCCCAAATACGGTTTACGCTATCTTAAGTTAATACGAATATATTTAATGTAATAACAAGGTGTTATTAGAGTATTTCCCAATATTTGTTAAATTTGTTTAAATATTTCTTAGTTAAGTGATTTGTGACACTAAATGATCGAAGGAATTTGTAATGACTTTTACAATTTTTAACCGATTTTTGTGTTTTATATCTTATTGGAACGATAATTGCATACATATGCTATTAAAATGCAAAAAGATAAATTAAGTGCCAACATTTTTGTAAAAATCGTTTTCCCCTTCAGACCCATAGTGCCACCAGTTATGCATTTCTATAACTATAAGTATAAATCTAAAAGCAGAGTCGGCCACTATTCGCAACTTCTGTAAAATTACCGAATTTTATATTTAGGACACAAGTATACAGTCAGAAGGACTAAGAGATAAAAAAGTGCAAAATTTGTGAGTGATACGTCCTTTTTATTTCCATATTCGCACGAAATAACACTGGAATTAGTGAAAATTATTTAAAAAGTTTTTTTCATCGTTGGCCTGTGATACTATAGCTAATTCAAAAAATACATTTTGAAGTAGTCCAGTACATTTTCATTTATTCGGGACCCAGTATGTCAAATTTTAAGTTTCTAGGTTAAATATTATAGAAAATTCAAAAAGTACCATTTGAGCAAGAAAAGGGAGTTTTAAAAAGTTCCTTATTATAGGGTAAACTGTTAAATATTTATGTTTCTATATTAATTCTGTTAAAATTACAAAATATTATAAGGATGAAAACGTGAAATAAATTTCCATTACTTTAAGTAAATTCTAAATCACATATGATGTAAATAAAAATAGCAAAAAATGTTTTAAAATTTTTTAAGAAAAGTGAAATAAATATTATTGTAGCTATTGTAAACCCATGCTTGAATTTAATATAAAGCATTAAATTCAACTTGGAAATATTCTAGTTCAAAAACGTTCTCTAGGTAAGATGTGATTCAACTTTAAATTATGACAATTTCCAACAACATTACAAGCCAAAGCTTGATTTTTTGTCTATTAATGCTTATTTTGTTATTCATATCAAAACGAAAGATTTAAGACAAAAACATGAAATTGTTAAGTTCTCTTTACTTAATGTAAATTGGGGAATGATAGATTTTTATAAATATGTACATATGTATATGTATCGCATACTACTACAAGACTGATTAAACATAGTTCCATGAATGTTTTGACTATTTCTCAAAAGCTCTAAATACATAGATATTTTGAATCCAGACACTTCCGTTAACCTAAGAAACACTTAGTTTACCTAAGAAAAATTCATACATACATAAGTCATAGTTCAATAATTTAAAACTGAGTCATTTAAAATGGATAAAAACCAACATGGAGAATCCCAACATAAAATGCGAACATACATTTTTACGTCACTTACCCCCATTATCTCAATGTCAATTATCAATGTAAATACAAAAAATATTTTAACCGGCAGAATATCTACAGGTTCAACGATAACCGGAGGTCGAGTTAACGGGGCTTATTGATTAAATTTGGTTTAAGAATTGGTGTTACTTTGTCTAACATTTTATATGTCTTTTGAAATTATGGAAAAATCTATTCTTTTTTTTACTAAGCACTTCAAAAATTGTAAATGACTTAAGTAATGTTTTCGTTACAGTTTTAGAAATATAATAACTTATTTACTACAAGACTGACATAACCCAAAAAAAGTAGTTTCGAAAAAAAATGGCTTCGAATGTTTAAGGACATTTTACTATTTTTTAATAACTTTTAAACAAATCAAGGGATTTGAAAAATTAAATCAGATTCATCTTAACTGAAATTTAATTTTTATTTATTTAATATTCGTAAAAACATGAATTTTTTATTTACATACATATACAACAAAAAATCGATCAAACGCCAAAATTTGAAATTTAATAAATCTATATGAAAGGCTTTAGAATGACGCATGATTTGTTGCCCTCAGTTCAAAAAACCCGAATTTTGGATTATGCCAATCTTGTAGTAAATGAATGATATACATATGTATGTATATATATTAATACCATAAAAGTAGAATTAATTGAAGAATTTTTATATTTGTTATTATTGTTAGAGAGGTTTGCGGGGAACTGTGCATGAAAAAATATTTTTTCACAAGTTACATATATTTTATTTAAATTATAACTAATAAATTTATATGAAGTGTGAATAGGTACATACGTATACACATTTATATAAACAGATATATATCTATATGTATATACCGATATTATATCTTAGAGTAATGTGTTTTATGCTATTATTCAATTCAATTGAAGTTTAATCAAATGTTTATAAAACTAAATTTCCTTATCAGCCCAACAACAATAAAACGAAGTACTTCCAAAAGAAGTGAGTTTTTTCTCTTCATTGGAAGAATGGAAATTTTGTTTTATAAAACTTTTATAAAATAAAATGTTGTTTATGAATTAGGGTGCATAATACTACAATTTCACTTCAGAAGTAGTGAATTTGGAATCAAATAAAAAGAACATCCCTACTATGACAAGCCTGTCTGCAGGTCTTTTTCAGTACTTCCATAGATCTTCTTTGAAAGTTCTATTTTTTTTTGCTGGGCAGATATTAAAGTGAAACAAAATATTTTTATATAAAACTTTCCTAATCTTTTAAAGGAACCTAGCTTAAAATTGATAAATTCTAATAATAAAAATATTTCAGATGCTGTTCTTGATTTCGATGACGAAGAGGGTCCATATCAGGGAAAATATTTGGGAAAAATAAATTCTTACCATCATCAGGTGAATACCATTGAGTAATAGTATAAATCAAACGCATTTTAAAATAAATTCTCCATATTAAAGGTTTCTGGTGATATATACGCTGTAAATGAATTTACCTTCTTAGTGGTGGGCTTCAATTACGATGGCAATGGTGCTGATACATTCTTTTGGGCGGGAGCTTCCAATCGTCCGGGTCCACAGGGTTTTATAGTGCCCGATGAGTATGGCAAGTAAGTATAGATGAAATTAAAATAAAATTATTTCTGTAAATCGAACCAAACTTTTAAATTTGTTTTAGAACCAATATTTTAGATCGTTACCACAATAAAGACTTTACCTTAACACTGCCGGATCGAAAGAAAATAACTGAAATAAAATGGCTATCAGTTTATGATTTAAATAATCAAAATAATTTCGGCGATGTATATATACCAGAAGAATTTGAACCACCACGACCACAGGCTGGTGGTACTTTTTCGAAACGTAGTCATAATGTTAGTAGCACAGCAATTGAAATTTTAGACTCGAAAACAATACAAATTATCGATTTTACATATGATGGCAAAGGAAAGAGAACCTTTTTCTGGGCTGGCGTAGGAGCACAACCTTCAAGTCGTGGTAGCAAAATACCCGATGAAAGAGGATAGTAAGTAGTCTCCTTATTAAAATCAAAGATAAATAGAGTAATTTTTGGATATTCTTCAATTATTTCAGCCTAGATCCCATACGCAAATATGACAAGGAAACTATAACCCTGGAATTGCCTGGTGACAAAACTGTTTTCGATATTGATTGGATTAGTATTTATGATTTAGCCGATAATGAAAATTATGGTCATGTTTTAATTGCCGACAATTTGAATGTACCTCCTTCTTTGGTGAAAATAACACCATATGAGTTTTCCCTACCAAATTGTCGACAATTACATAAAAACTTACAAGTATCCTGGGAAGTGTTTGGTCCACAAATTACCCTACAACTTTCGGGTCAAGTTGAAAAGAATGATTACATGTCATTTGGTCTATCGGGTTCAGATACTTCTTCGCAAATGATAGGAGGTGATGTGGTTGTGGCCTACATGGATGATATTCGGGGTTATTCGATCGATTATAATATAACATCATTGGCTCCCTGTGTCCAAGTGTTGGGTCAAAACAAAGGCGTGTGTCGTGATGATGTAGTGGGTGGTTTAAATGATTTTCAATTAAATACCTATAGTCGTAAAGATGGCATTAATACTATAACCTTTAGGAGAACTTTAATATCATGTAAGTATTTTCCATTGACAATATTTAATTTAATATTTATTGGTTTTTTTTTCTTCCCTTTCTTAAGCCGATCATGGTGATAAGGAAATACGTTTAGACCGAAGCAATTACATTATATGGGCTTTAGGTCAATTGGACTCAAATTATGAACCAGCCTTCCATAATTATTATCCCAAAAGTGATGTTTTAATTGATTTCAATACAACTGAACCGGTTAATGATTGTTTTAGTTTTACCAAACATGCTGATGCACCCATACAAACCTGGGAAAAGGTCAAAATATTAGATCCGTAAGTAATATTATTTTATTAATTTAGAAATTTATATTAATATGTTATTCTTTTGGAAACTTAAGAACTGTTCGCACTTTTAATTCATATTTGGGTCCTTCTGGAGGTTTGAAAGGTTATCAGGGTATTACTGGTATGTTTTAATGTTAGTTTTATATTTTGTTTATATGCTGAAGTTTATTTTTCTAGGTCACGTCTCTAGTGGTTTAGCTTGGTATATAAATGGTTATATGATTCCCGAATTGTATTTGAAGAGAGGTCTTACATATGCATTTAAAGTAAGTTTTTAATATTAAAATTTGATAACATTCAAAATTAAAGAAAAACTTAACTGATTTAAAATTTCCAATTTGATTTTCTTGTTGTGGTCAAGATTATAATAGTCAAGAGTATATCATTCGCTTATTAAATAATTAAATTTACTTTGGTTTTAAAATCATTCATTTCATTATCGATCGAAAACTCAATTCCTATCGATAGTGGAATTAAGTCCATGTTTTGAGAATACTTTTTTCGAAATTAAATCGGAATAAAATTATTTTAAATTTTTTAAGTGGATCAATATTAATAAATCTTAATCGAAAAATCTAATTTTTATCGAAAAGTTGTAAAAATAAGTAATAAAATACAAAAAGTCGAAAAGTCAAAAAGTCAAAAAAAAAAATCGACTTTTAAAAGTTTTCCTACTTTTTCAATATTTATGGGAACTAAAGATAGACGAACAATGTGATATTATATTGAAATTAAAACTATTTTCATATGAAAACTATCGATCGTTATTCTCTGGGTACAAGTTATCATCTTGAATATATCCTCCAAATATCATGTTTGATAGTACATTGATGTCCATTATTTCATTCTTAAAAATAGCGATAATGGCCATCTCATTCGTAGGAAAACATTCTAAAATGCATAACAAAGTCATAGGTCTATTGTGTGGATTTGATTGTACGGATTATTAGGAATCAAATCCTAACTCTAAAATTATCAATCTAAAAAATTCTTCTTCCCTATACCTTAATGATACATTACAGCTCTTATGGATGATAAGTTTTGATATACAATTGTCAGTAGTGGATTTCTCTAGTCTATTTTTAGATACGTCAAAATTTTTCATTTTATATTTATATCCCAACAGGTAAGAGGTGGCAATAATCCTCATTCGCCCGACAATTATCATCCGCTTGTTATTACTGATGAACCACGCGGTGGTTATGATCGTCTTAGCGATGCAAAACAAAGTGAAATTCGTGTTTTAGCTGGTGTCGAGTTTACGCGACGTGGACGTCCCAAGCCAACAGCTGCCGGACCTCTATGTATATCACGTTATCCAGCCGGTTATGATCGTCGATTGGATGATAATTTTCCCAGTTTTAAGAAATTTAATCGTTCTCTTGTCACCGAATGTCCCTATGAAGAACCGGCCATATTGGAAATTACACCAAATATAACATGGCCCGATATTGTGTATTACAATAGTTTTACCCACGCCAACATGGGTTGGAAAATTCATATTATTGATAGTTATAGTAATGTTAGAAATCGTGGTAACAAAGTGTTGAGTGGGAATTGGAACTTTTTAATGGGAGGTGGAGTATTTATAATAACTACTATGTTTTATTTAAGATTTTGAAAATGACTGATGTTCTTAAATAGTTTTCTTTGTTATTGTAGTAGATGAAAGTACATTTTTTTTTTAATAATAATTTGCCTGATTTTATTTTCAAAATTCTTTTAATATTGTATGTTACACAACTATTTTGGTTTGACATATTTTTTTCTCGATTTCTCAAGATATTTTTAAATCAAATAAATAAATACTTTAAATATTTTTCAATATTTTTGTTTATTTAATATGTATGTTTGTTAATGTACGTATGTATATTAAATCATGTTTTTAATTTCCATGTAGAAGAGTTCCAAGAATAATTTATAATAAATATATTGTAGTATTGAATCCTTTAATAAATATATATTGATTTTCATAATAATAAATATTGGCATTTTTCATTAATTAAGTAGTAGATTTATGTATGTATATCAGTATGTATGTGGTACAAATATATGTGTGTAAGTATGTATTTATGTGATAATAACATGGTGATTATAAGATATATGAACCAAGTTCTTTTTATTAATGAACTTTTTATAAATAACTTTTTAAGCTCTAAAATGTAACTAGTAACAACGTTAGGTTTTTTACAAATATATATTTTTAAAATTGAGTTTTTTATATAATATTTTAATTAAGTAAATAATTTAATATTTTTTAGTTTATACAATTATTCGAATTAATATCACTTTTTTATTACATATTTCACATAATGTTTCAATAATGAAAAGATTATTGTTATTTGTTTTTTAACATTATTTTTCACAGTATTTAAATTCAAAGCTTTTTAAAGCTCAAGGTTCGTGATCTTTGACAAAGTTTTCTAAACATTTTGGTATTTGATTGCGATAAGGTATGCGATACTTACTGATAATTGTGGCAGCTAAACATTTAAGGTTAATATAATTCATGAGAGGTATTGTATTTGCTGAATTAAGTGAAATTAAATTATATGGGCGTTCATCCGATTTGTTGGGTTGATCTAAATCGGCACCATGATCGAGTAGAATTTTTATGATCTTAAAGAAAAGGAAAAAATAAAACAAGTACAAATTTTATTAGTTTCATTAAATTCAGTACTAATAATTATGTATTACTTATATACCGATTGAAAATATAATTATAATTTACCTCATTACTGAAATTATAAGGTTGAGCAGCTATATGCAGAGGAGTTGATTTCACTTCATTTTTAGCATTCACATTTATACCACATTCCAGTAACAATTTAATGACATCAGCATTTGGAAATATAACCTTCAAAAGAAAAAAATTAAAACATAAATATGTATATCCTTTTAGCCTTCCTTTATTCGTCTCTCTTACATTTAAATTCTCATCATTCAATAAACCACTCTTAATCACATTCAAACGAGAAACACATACATGTAATAGTGAGTCGTTTGTACAGGCACTGGTAATATTCGCCTGAATCAAATTACGCACCGACTTATAAACAATACGAGTTTCTTCCGGTCTCCAAGCTGTTGCAATAAGTAAATATATGGTATGAGCTATACATTTAAAAATACTGTCGAAATTCTCTTGTTGCCTTCTAGATATGGGACGTATTTGTAAGAGAGCATGACACTCGGCTACTGTCTTGGTGAGTAGCTCAAAAACCGTTAAAACATCTTTAAAATGCGGTAAAGTTTCATTGCCAAAATTACTCTGATTTAGATCTGTATTACGTTCATGCAACTCTAACATTAGGCGAACAAGAGCCTGTGCTGCAAAACTTGTATCAAAAAAGAGCAGTGTATTATGTTGAACGCGTATTTCGAGTAAGAGTGTCCAGAGCTGTATGCAACGTTGCAACTGTAGGGAATCGGCATATGAAGCACCACGAAATGTTAGACGAAAAAGAGTGTCCTTATGGGTGATACCAAGAATACGTTCACATATTAATAGACTTTGTATGCGCATCGCATCCATATCTGTGGCCATTTCGTCGAGTGCTTCTAATGTGGTAAATTCATGTTGAAAGCGATAGGCTTCACGTAAAGGAACTTTAGGAAGTTTTTCTATATGAGAAAAAGATAATAGATTTAAATATACTCTAGATTCCTTAACCATTGACACTAAAATTTTTACCAATATAAGGATTTTGAGACGCTCTTAAATGATGTGCCAAACGCCAATGTAAAACTGCTACTCGACTTTCATTGTGTTCATCCAAAAATGTTGAACCTATACCAGTATTTTTTTTACAAAAATGTTTAATCAAATTAACAACATAACAAACCTATTAGTTCATGAGCTTCAGCCAATCTTTCAATAGAATATTCTAAATTATTTCGTAAGTAATCGAAAATCTGATGTGCACCCTTCAGGCAAGCGGTACGTAAAGCATCATCACCATGACGACTAATAGCATAAGGATTGGCGCCATGTTCCAATAACAATTTGGTAGTTTCCAGTCTGTTATACAAAAAAAAATCAGAATATCTTTCGCAATATAAATGATATATACTTCCGCTTACCTGTGCTCTTGTATGGCGTAATGTAACGCGGTTTTACCTTGTGTATCAACAGCATTAATATCGCATCCTTTACGTATTAGAAATAAACATAGTTCTGGCGATTGTACTGAATTTATTAAACAAGTACCACCATTCATGTTGGGCTTCTTAATGTCAGCACCGTTTTCAGCAAGAAATTTTACTGGAAAGTTTTTGGTTTATTAATACATAATGCCTTAAATATTTACTTATATTCTTAATTTTCTTACCCATTTCAATGTGTGTCATGTAGCATGCACTTCGAACAGGCGTTGATCCCGTATCTGAGGTGGCATTTATGTCACTGCCAACACGTAATAGATACTTGACCATAGGTAAATTATTTGAAACCGCTGCACACCATAGCGGTGTTACCAAATGATATGAACGATCTTCTGGTGCTTCATACAATCCTTTTTGTTCTATATCAGCTTCGCAAATTGTTACCAAATATTCGGCTATAGGCACGCAACCTCTACTGCATGCTATGAATAGAGGTGGAGAACCGCCACGCATGCGACGGACAATTTCTCGTCTTGTTTCACGGCTATAACTGAAGTATATAATTTTAACATTATCTTTGTTACTTAATATGCATATTACGTAAAATATTTTTTTTTGGGAGATATCGAAATAAATAAAATAAAATATTCTACAGCCTTCAGGGTCTAAATTCAAAACATAAACTCGACAATTCTTTACTCATGTCAAATTTCATTAAAATCGGACAACCGTTTAGAATAACAGATTTATTTCCCCTTTATTGACCTAAACAATTAATAACATTTTATTAAAAATCTCGTAAATTATTTTTTATGGAAGGAAATTCAAATATAAAATATTATTTGATAAATACAAATAATAATTTGCTTCATTTTGCTTAAAATAATTGTTCTGATTAAGTTTTTCCTTACAAAATAATACAATTTTGCGTAAGCAAAAAACTTAATTGATTCACTGTATAATATTTATTTTCTAATATCTTCATCTTGTACGTCTATCCGTATCAAAACTCATTAAACTTATTTATAATTAAGAATTAATACAAATTTTATTTAAATATTTAGTTTTATTTATAGCAATCACCGACTATCTCATAGGTAGTTAGCCGTTGAAATACATGGAGAAGAAGAAAATGGAAGAAACTAAATAAAAAAGAAATCAAAACAAAAAATCAACAAAAATTGATCATTGTTGAGAGAGTTTGTAAACAACTATGTGCAAAAATAAAATTCTATAAAAACAATAACATGATTGATTCAATAGCAATGTTTAAAGCAATAAATTCGTTCATAGTAGCAACAATTCATTAACTAGAATTAAAAAACAAGTTCAATGACTTGAAAACAGATACTAATAAAAAGGCGGTATCAACTTCAGGAAATAAAATTAACATTTTCCAACGAGTATATCATCTCTGTGTGGATGTAGAAACCAACCATTAAATTAAATTTAAACTAATCATTAGAACGTCTAGAATAAACCATAATGAACTTACCTTTCAAGTTCCTCTCTAAGTCTTTTTGATATTGTGGAATTTTCTAAACATTTTCGAATTTCCTCGTGCAAATCATAACTGAGTTTAGCAATTTTCAACTGTATAGAGGGTACAGGGCAACGATTACTGGAGTATTTTCCACCAACTTCAGTCTCAGACTTAACCACTGCTGCAAAGCTCATAAGCGGTGATGGATTTGCCATTTTTCCAATTTGCAATTTCTTTAATATTATGAAATCGTTGTTGATTACTGCGCGTTTAACGCGTCTTTTAAGCAATTAGCACTCGAACTGACCACACTAATAAGTTTATATAGGATTGACACTAATTAATGGTACTCTTTGAAAACAACTTCCTCCAACACCTTTTCCTACCGTAGCTAGGTTGAATATTTATTATTTTTGTATTATTTATGCAAGTAGCCTATAGGTAGGTACATATATTTGCGATTTTATAATATGACCAAATGAGGAGTAGTGTTGTAATTTTTGTCTGTTTCTCTGTTTTTCTTTTTTCCTTACTCTTGTGCCGTTTTTTTCTTTTTGGCTGAACTGTCTGTCTGCTGCACTATATTTTTTTCCACTTGAAAAAGTGAAAGTAATTTTGTTTTCGTGGTATGTAAATCAATAATTATTGAATTAATTTTCGATTCCTTTATGAGTGCAGGAATTTGCTTTTAATTGTAACCATTGCTCATTTGCTTAACATTTGAAAATAAAAAGTTCACAAAACTTTCTCATTTTTAATATGTACTTTTCTTTTAAGAATTTCTAAAGAAAATTTAGCATTAATGCTGATAGATAATTGTCTTAATGAATTTAACTGTCTTGTTAATTTTAAGTTTATAATTTATAGCCCGAAAAGTTATTAAATTTAATAATATTTGATAAAACTGCAAAATTTATATTTTCCAACTATAATAGAACAGAGCCCTGCGACGACAAACATTAACGGCGGAGGCGGCTGGCACTAAAAATATCGGCGGCTTCGGCAAACACTAAAAATGTCGGCTGCTTAAAATTGACTGTAAGCCGGCTAAGTTTTCAGTTTTAAGTTTCCAACGAATTAATGTAAAAACGGAATCCGATCGATTAAAATGTGGGATTTTGAAAGCAAATATTTTAAAAATCTATTGTTTACCAGAGTAAGAAATTTTTGTATTCATAATACTATATTTATTTCTATCGTTATACAACTCATTTTCTCACTATTTTAATATAAACTCTTCATTTTAATACCCTTTACCTTCGTGATATTATTTTGTATTTACGATTGCCTTCGTGAGAATTCATTAAAATATATCGAAAGCTTACAGAATTAATTATAGGCATTATATCAAAGCAAATTTGTTTGAGGAACTGTTCATTGTTTAAAATATAACTCAATTTCGAAATGAATTAGAGAATGAGTTATTTTAGAGCTTTGATGTATGTACATACATACTTACAGATGTATGTAAAAAATCATGATATAAACTTTGGTTTTTCTTTTCGAACATCTTAAAATTCTGTCTTAATGTTGTACTAGCGACTTGCTGGAGGCGCGTAAATACGAAAATATCTGAGGCGAAGAAATTTCACTGTGACGCCGTCCGATTGTATGAATGTTGGCGGAGGCTTTATAACGGCTTTAATTTTATACTAATTGTATGGCCGCTTAATAAAACAGTATTATAACAAAAGCAAATGCACAAAATTTCAAGTTTTAGAAAATTATTTTTAAAAATGTCGATCAATTTAAAAAAATATTCAAAAATAACCCGGATAAAAATTCGCGAAATTACAATTTATAAAGTTTTTTTTGCTTTTATGAAACTATAAAAATCTTTAATTACTATACACATTCGTGTTTTAGATTGAAATTATTTGAAATTATTGGATTTTCTTAAATTTTAATGACTTTTCATCAGTTTTTTATTTACTGCTATTAATTTCCATAGGATGATACATATAAAAATAAAGTTTTAACATAGTGTGCGTAAACTTATGTTTTTATAATTTGTATAAACCAAAGACCGGAAGTAAGTCCTCCCAAAGTTCGCATATCAAATTGTGGTTATATTTTTATTTGTATATAATCTATGTTTGTATGTATTATTAGTTTTTATTTATAAAATATTTAATTTTTTTGTTTTAATATTTAGTTTTCCTTTTTTGTCCAAGACAACCTAACCAACTAAGCTAAGTTCTCCACTTTTTTGTCCATTTCCTGTTTCGTTCCCTTCTACATCTTTACTTTATAATAACTGTCAAAGTAAGAGAATAGTAGTAAGTTTGCGCGCTGGTTTTACTCTTCTATAAGTTTTGTGAAAATTTGCGCTCAAATTAAGAAAATTGTATATAAATTTTGAAAAATAAGAAAATAAAGTGTGAATTAATGAAAATCTTATTGTTTTATTATAATCTAATAAAGTTTAAAAAAAATTAAGAAATTTTCAACCTGTTTCGGGCATTGCAATCATTGTTAGTCCTTATAGTATATTTGTGCGTTTGTCGTAAATTTCATTAAGCCAATGGAGTACCCTTTTGTTGAACGTTATGTTCGGTGTATGCAATGATATGTATAAATATGCGTGCAAGTGAGTGTGTCCGGCAAAAATATACCAACGGAGCACCACTTTTCAAAGTTAATGTTACATGAGTTGAAAAAGAGAGTAGCTTATGCAAGTTGATGTTGTTGGTAAAATAAAAGTTTATTATACATACATATTATTATGTATGAATATAGTAAATGTGTACATACATACATATTTGTCATAAATAGAGAAGTTAAATGCATAGAAGTCAATTAATAAAAAATTAAATAAATAAAAAAGAAAAAATATGGATTTTTTTAATATAAAAATTTATTAAATACGTACAAATAAATATTTGAAAACATATTTAATTATCATACATAGCTTTTGAGAACAAATTCGAAAATGTTTGTTTTCAAATGGAAAATTCGTGCCATCTCAAACAAAAAGGCAGTTAGAAATTAAACCTATTTTTCAAATGTATATTCAAATGTCTTCTTAAGCTTTTCCAGATTATGTGGCACATATTATGTTAAATTTTGGCATATTCTAAAAATTTTCGGTTCGGTTCCGTCTTGATAATTGTTGGGGCCAATCCAAACATTTAATACCGTGCTTCTCAAGTCCCTAGGTGGTTATATAAGCCTTTTGCTTATGGCCACCGTCATGCATTTTGATAGTTTAGTGTGGTTCACACCCTAAGACTTCCTGGATATGGAGATAAGAATCCGTTAAAGGATCAATCTAAGGTTCTGCCTTTATTATGTGGACTATTTTCCTAAGGATTCTTAACGTTTTTCATGGAACCAACCCCAAATCAATAGTAATCCCTGTGAAAATATTATGAATATTTCGGCTTTGGAATATAATCTTAAGATTGATAAAATTTTATCAAACAGTAATTCCAATAAATTTTACAAATAAAATTCTTTAATTAATTAGGAAAATCAAAAAAGTTTAATAGAAGGTGTGTTAGAAAAGTATAGTTTAGTTCCTGGACAAAAATAAATTTTTATATGTATGTAGAACTAAATTATCGTTTACTTTTCGCCAATGGTGCTGAGGGATTTTCACCCTTATAGAAATCTTTCAGCAATTCCATAGCCTCGTCAGCTCTCAAACCGCCTTTTATATTCAAACAGTGACCCACGACTTGTGGCACGTTAACAACTGTCTTGCCGCCGAAACGGTCATTGGCACAACCATAAATAATTTCCTTCACCCTTAGATCATGCAAAGCAGCGGAGCACATTATACATGGCTCCACTGTAACAACTACGGAAATATGTGGAAAAACTTTGGAATAATCTAAATTATTTGTTGAGCAATATTTCAGAACCTGATCGATGCAGATGAATTCAGCATGACGTGTGGCGTTTTTTGTGGCATTAACTTGATTACCACCACGTGCTATAATTGTACCATTGTAAATGAAAACACAACCCACGGGTACCTCACCGGCGGACAGCGCTAGACGTGCTTCTGCAAATGCATCCTCCATAAAATCGTCTAGTGCCATGTTCTCGAAAATTGCTTTATTTTTTTAAAATTTTTGTAAACACATCAAAAAATACAATTGTTTTTGTTTACGAATGTAATTTTTTTGGAAATGTTGCCAACTTACAAAAACTGCTAAACTCGCAAAGAAGTTAACAACTACATATAGCTCATTTACTAAAAGACTGGCATAATCCATTAATGTGTTTCTAATCTGAATTTTAATTAAATGTTTACTTATGAAATATATGAAAAACATGAATTTCCTTTTGACAGCAATGTTGGCAACATTATGTAGTGTCAATATATAGTAACAGGATGTTTCATATATAAATATTTTTCCGAGGGTAGTTTTGGTAATTGTTTGTTTTTACAAAAAAAAAAATCTTTTAAAATTTAAAAATTGTGATTTATACTTTTGGAAGGGACATTCTATGTGAGTTTTGACAAATTATAGACCTTTTATGGAAGCTATGACAAGCTAAGCAACGGTCTCCACTTTTTTTGTTCATTTCCTTTTTCGTTCCCTTCTACATCTTTACTTTATGATAACTGTCAAAGTAAAAAAAAATAGTAGTAAGTTTGCGCGCCGGTTTTACGCTTCTATAAGTTTTGTGAAAATTTGTGTTAAAATTAAGGAAATTATATAAATTATTGAAAAATAAGAAAATCAAGTGCAATTTAATGAAAATCTTATTGTTATATTATAATCTAATAAAGCTTATACAAATTTTATAAATTTGCAACCTTTTTCGGCCGTTTGCAATTATTGCCAGTCGTTATAATATATTTGTGTGTTTGTTGTAAATTTCATTAAGCCAGCGGAGCACCCTTTTTGTTCAAGGTCATGTTCAAGTGAGTGTGTCCGGCAAAAATATACCAACGGAGCACCACTTTTCAAAGTTAATGTTAATTAAATGAGTTGAAAAATAGAGTAGCTTATGCGTGTTGTTGTTGTTAGTAAATTAAAAGTTTATTATATGTACATACATATTATGTATGTTTGTAAAAATATGTATTCATGCATTAAGTAAGAAAATAAAGTATAGTGTATTAAATATTACGTATACGTATGTACGTAGTTCATAAATAGAAATATAGTGCATACATAAATACATATTTGTGATAATTAAAGAAATTAAATGCATAGATGTCAATTAATAAATTAAATAAATAAAAAAGATAAAATACATATATGTATGTATTTTTTAATATAAAAATTTATTAAATACAAATTAATTGATTAAAATAACTATAAAATAGTAATCAGTTGAAATTCATAAAATATTAAGATAAATTAATAAAATAAAAAATAAATTAAAATGTAAAGATCAGGGTTGTCTTAGAATCTAATTGTTCTAAATTGAATTTAAAAACCACAAAAAACACACATTGTTTTTAGTTCGATCTACATAGTTAGTATATACCTATTTATATTTATATTTTTTGTAATTTTCAAATCCAATTCTGAAAATGTTTGGATTAAATAACAACCCCAAGTAATTAAAAGTCAAAATGCCAAATCGTTTCAAATGGTACTTGATAGTTATGAGACAATTGAAAACATAAATAATTTTTGAAAAAAAAATTCACATTATATGGTATATGATCTTCTATTGTATACCACAGCACCCATTCAAAGTCCCTTAATGGCTTAAAGCTCCTCTCAAAGACATTTCACATGATATTAATTTTTCATATCATTTCTTTGCGTGAAATATGAAATAAAATGGAAAAATCCTTAAAAAATTACTTTTTTATTCTTTGACATAGTAGCTCACCTAATATTGTTCCTAGAAATGGTATCTTAGAATGAAACAAGCATTAATTTTCGATGGGCGCCGTCCTTTTCCCCGTACAAATTATCTTCATTTAAGACTCCTAAATCCACTTTAATAAATTATTTTTTTTTTGATTAATCTAACTAAAATTTTTTAAATTTTTACAAATGTTTTTTATTAAAACCGTCTTTCATCATAATTAAAAACATGATTAAAAAGTTTCCTTCATTCGATATGTATTTGAAATATGTACTTCACTATAAAAATATAAGAAAATAATAAATTAAATATGAAATTTAGCAAAAATAAATTATAAAAATAAAAAATAATGTAAGTGCACAGGGTGAATTTACACTTAAAAAATAAAAAAATATATAAAATAATTAAATAAAAATATATTTTGTATAAATATAAAATAAAAAATATATAAATAAAAATATAAAATAATAAAAAATATATTTTTTGTATAAATATAAAATTATTAATTAAAGTACACATTCGTCAACATTTCATCAAGAATTATGAAATTATGCATAAGGTAAGAAAACAATGAATCTTTATTAGAAATGTTGAAAATCAGAATTTTAATTAAATGTTTGCTTATAAAATATGTACACAGAAAAAACTGAAAAACGATTTCAATTACCAAAACCTCGTTTTCAATTATTTTATTTTTTGAAGTTCAACCTATAACAAAAATTGTATATTCAATTACTACTTATAATTGATTTCGTACACAAAATTTTTATTTTTTTCTATTTTTGTTGTAATTAAATACGTATTTGATTATACATTTTTATGAATCAAATACAAAATGAATTGAACTATTTTAAAATTTTTGATTAATCTTTTAATTGAAAATTTTTTAAAATTAATTTTTTCTGTGTATGTAAATGAACATGTATTCTACTTTTGACTTTAACAGCAAAAAAATCGGAAATAGTAAATGTTTTAGTAAATGAGCGATATGTACAAATGTATGTATATGGGACCGACTAATTATGTAAAGAAAGCAAAATCATGTTTTTGTTACCCCTCTCAAAATTTACATTGTTTTGTTTTATGAAGATCCCCAACATATTTTAAGAGACCTGATAAAGGACCACATAACAGGGCCGATAGGGGCCTACGATATTTCTTCTGAACTAACTAATGAACAAACAAACAAAATTAAACAAATAATTACATATCGTGATATGAAATCCAAAAAGCCTAAGTTACAAAAAAAATCAAAACAAATTTTTTTATTGATTATGATGCACAGTATCAGAATACATGTCGCTGCTAAATTTTACACTCCTAGAATTAAAATTAACTTCCTTATCAACGAAATATTATAAGATTATTAACTTAAATTCATAAAAATTTTAAAATTTGAATTTGTAAAATGTCGTAAATTTGCATAAAATAAAAATTGCACTTTTAACGAATCCTTGTAAATTAGATTTTATTTTAATAGCTTTAGAACTTTTCCAAAGAAAAAATTCCAATAATTGAAAATATTTATGAAAACAGAGAAGCCGTATGAATATCTGCCAAATTTCGTCCTGTTTGAGCGACAAAATTAGTTACAAATGTTGAACCGTACTATATTTTAATGTAACTTACGCCTTTTTGGGCTTTAGAAAATTTTTTAATTAATTTTAATCTTCATTTCTCTGTAATTAAACAAAAACTGAAATTTTTCTTATTTGTTAATAAAAAATAAGCGTAACTTCAGAAAATATTGAAATTTTTTGGTTTATCATTTTAGAAGGTTTTTCGCAAAGAATATAGTTTTTTTCTTTTCCTGAAAAATTTGTTCGATGTAACTTAGTGCTATTTGGATATTATGTGACGATATGTACATAACAATCCTTTCAAATGATACAAAATATTGGCTTAAATGAGTTTGCGCAAGTTAAAAGCAGTCAATTTTGGTAAACGTCCTAATACAACGATCGGTAAATCATTGTTCATACCTCCTATAGTTGAATTACATATTCCAAAAATTAATTTTCATGCTAATTTAAAGGCTGTGTTGATCAACTTTTATCCTTTTACCACCACCTTTCCGCCAAAGAACTGCATAACGACCAAAATACTTTTCTCTTATATATTTTATTAAAAAACAATATAGAAATGCTATTATTAAAATGCTAAACTTAAAATAAAGAATTATGTACTACTAATTGCTAAATATTCCGAATTATTTTTCTGCTAAATATTTTTCCAATTCCGTTGATGCCAAAAGGCTAAATCGTGTTTTTACAGCATTCAGCGATTTTGTTAACTTCTTGCGCAGCACAGCCGAGGTTATGTTAAGAAATTCTTCCACCTTTTTAAAATAAAATAATGACTCTTATGATATACACAAACAATAGCGAATCTATTTACTTACCGTCAATTCATTTTCTTTGCGACCATATTTAACAAACTGGCATTGAGGAGCATGTTTCATGTGTTCCTTCCATGGATCATCAGTTGGATCCCAACCATGTAATTGTTTGCAACAAACAAAACATGTTGCAGCGTCGTCTTCTTCATTATTTTTATTACCCGTCCAGTAGAAACCAGCTTCAGCCATTTTTGTAATACTGCAAGATGAATTTTCGTCGTAAGGCCAGGTTTTGAAACTATCAATACGATGTTTTTCCATTAGAAACACTTCTTGGAAATTATTAAATTTAGCTGAAATATTTTCCGACATATTTTTATTCAATTTTGTATTATTGTCTAAATTAATATATTTTTCACAATTTTTTTCAAGCGTCTCTTTCGCGGTCAGTGTTGTTATTGCGTTGGGCGTTTGAATTTTTTTTTGTAATAAATATCATTTACATGAAGGTTGGCAACATTATGAAGTGTCAATCTATAATAACAGGATGCGTCATATATAAATACTTTTACGAGGGTAGTGTTAATATAGTGTTGGTAAACGTTTATCTTTACAAAAAAAATCGTTTAAAATTTAAAAATTGTGATTAATATTTTGCGTTAAAAAGTAGTGTTTATATTTCTATAATCATATTTGTGGAATAGTGACCTTTTTTATTTTAATTTTCACTTTTTCATAGTTTTTTTTGTTTATATATTAGGAACAAGTTAGTGTGTTATGTACGGTTGGAGTACCATGTCGTTTTTTAATGCATTATGTGCTAAGCAGATTTATTTTCGAATCGATTATCGTCAGTTCTCTAAAGTATCATATTATCTATTACATTTCGTATACAAAAGCTATATTTGTCTGAAATTTTCTTAGATTTTTACTCATTTTTCTTTTTTTCGGCTTAAACAAATTTTGAATACATATTCTGTTGAACTTGATCCTTGAAACCTCATTAGATGTCAGAATCATAACAATGTTCAACAGTACCGGTTCCCATGGTGTACTGAAGTGATTTAGTTTGCATCCGATCTAGTTAGTTTAAGATAAGTTCAAAAATTTTTCTGCATTTTATTTATAAAAAAGATTAAAGGTATATAAATAATTCAGTTTCTTTTTCTGAAAAAAAAAAAAAAATAAATAAAAATAAGGCCAGCTTATTCATATCCATATCAAATTGTTAAAAAAAATATAAACTACAAGTTGCTTAAATTTATGATTCATTTCCCATAGTTGTTTAAATTTTTTTGATGCATTTCTGACATACTTTTAGTAAATGCTCTTCAATTTGTGATTATTTCATTTCTCATATACTTCAGTAAATCCTCTTCGATCAAAAATTTCTCTGCTTTCTCTGGCCAATTGTTATTATTAAGTGCTCTTGGACTGGGATGAGCTAGACGTAATAGATGTTTACTTTTGCAATATTCTGATGCTTTCAGAGTATCATATACATAATTCCCAATGGCTACAATAATTTCTGGTTGTATTAATTGTAATACTTGTTCGGTAGTACGTAAACATTCATTGCGAATTTGTAGCTTATAAGGTCCTTTCAATTCGCTGGGAGTAATATTGTTGCCATTGCTATTGAAAAATACAAGCGGGCAAAAATTATGAACAAAACATTGTTTAAAGAAAGTATCGAGGGATCCGTTTGATAATTCTTTAAATAATGTCCATAGCCGTTTACCACTTGGTTCTTCGCGTGTACTTGCTAAACCTTTAACAGGTCTTTTAGGATGAACTACTGGCGGTTGGTTAACGGTGCCATTTAGCCCCATTATATCTCTAACGGTAGTAATATTGCCGAACGGTATCTGGAAGATATTAAAATTTTATTTTAGCAGTAGGTCAAATATATAAAAATATTAAAAAAATCCAACTCAAACACTAGACAAATAGTTTTTAACTTTGTCTAACTACTCACACCAGTTTGCATCATACCATTAGGTCCAGGATTCATACCAATGAATAATACTTTTTTAACTTCATTAAGGTATTTTTTTAAGTATGCACAATGGATATCGTCGGCATATTCTATTGGATTGTAAATATGAGTGATATCCGGATTTGTTGTAAAATTTCTAAGTTTTTCATTTAATTGAATCTCTAAATTGTAAAATTGTATCCATAAATCTGGAGCTATGCTGGTGTTTGCTAACATTCCGATATGACTTATTGTACAGTTTACTTTTTATTAAAATTATCAAGTTAAAAAGCTTGCGGCTATAACCACTCTATAAATTTAAAATTTTTAAAACTCTTATTTCTGAAGCTTTTTTGATAAAATTTTAACAACAATACAAAGATATTTAGTTTAGTTATAACTAAGTGTCTGGTGTGTATGTATACTGATTATTACTCACCCCCGTCTGTCCCATACCATCGTGTCCTGGATTCATACCAATAAACAACAATCTCTTCGTGCCTTTCAGATAATGTCTTAGGTATTCACAGTGCAGTTGGGCAGCATACTCAACGGGATTGTAAATGTGTGTTATTTCTTTTTCTGCTTGGTAGTGACACAGATTTTCATTTAGTTCACATTCTAAATTGTAGACCTTTTGCCACAAAGTAGTGTTAAAAAAATTAGAAGTTTTAATTAATCTGTTATTATTATTGTTGGCGTCTGGTAATGTCTCTTTATGGACAACCGGCTTGTTAGTTGCCTTTCTGGCTAATTTTTTCTTTAGCATATTTATTATTAAAGTAATTAATGAATTATTTAAAAAAATCCGCTTTGTTTTGAAAAATTTGTTTATTATTGTTTTTATTTTGGTTTTGATTCGGCTTTTACAATCAGCTGGTTTGTGGCATTCACGGAGAATTAGTAACACAATCACAATTTGCTGTTAACAGGCTGTTTTGCTTATAAATTCTTATAAAAATTCAAAAATATTTTAACGGATTTTGGTAATTCCTATAACTATGTACATATTTCATTTCAATTAAACCGATCGTTTAATTAGATAGATTAATAGACCAGGCATGGAAAATTCAGTACTTTAGTACTTTTTCATTTCGAAATATTACCGCGGTATTCCTACAACTTATTCAGTATTTTTTCTAACTAATAAACTGTTGATAAGAAGTCCACATAGTATTCAGTCTGTAGTCTAGTCTATAGTCTAGTCTAGTCTAGTCTAGTCTAGTCTAGTCTAGTCTAGTCTAGTCTAGTCTAGTCTAGTCTAGTCTAGTCTAGTCTAGTCTAGTCTAGTCTAGTCTAGTCTAGTCTAGTCTAGTCTAGTCTAGTCTAGTCTATAGTCTAGTCTATAGTCTAGTCTATAGTCTAGTCTAGTCTAGTCTAGTCTATAGTCTAGTCTAGTCTATAGTCTAGTCTAGTCTATAGTCTAGTCTATAGTCTAGTCTATAGTCTAGTCTATAGTCTAGTCTATAGTCTAGTCTATAGTCTAGTCTATAGTCTAGTCTATAGTCTAGTCTATAGTCTAGTCTATAGTCTAGTCTATAGTCTAGTCTATAGTCTAGTCTATAGTCTAGTCTATAGTCTAGTCTATAGTCTAGTCTATAGTCTAGTCTATAGTCTAGTCTATAGTCTAGTCTATAGTCTAGTCTATAGTCTAGTCTATAGTCTAGTCTATAGTCTAGTCTATAGTCTAGTCTATAGTCTAGTCTATAGTCTAGTCTATAGTCTAGTCTATAGTCTACTATAGTCTAGTCTAGTCTATAGTCTAGTCTAGTCTAGTCTATAGTCTAGTCTATAGTCCAGTCTATAGTCTAGTCTATAGTCTAGTCTATAGTCTAGTCTATAGTCTAGTCTATAGTCTAGTCTAGTCTAGTCTATAGTCTAGTCTATAGTCTAGTCTATAGTCTTTTTCAATTTTATTCTCCTATTTTTTTGGAGTTTGCATCGATATAGCTTATGCTGGTATTTTTTCTTTCCATTACCTTATCTTTCTATTAATTTAGTTTTTTTTTTACTATATTCTAGTATTTTTTGGCCTCTTGTATCTTTTAAATCATTGAATATATTAATAATATTCACATATCAATCAATTATAATTACATTTTTTCAAATTGATTTAAACTAAATGGTTTGCTTTTTGGAACCGGGATTCCTAGACCTAGTTAGGAGCAAATTTGGTATTTTTTAAACATACTTTTCGTAAATATGAATATTTCTTTTCAGGAAAGCAAAATCTATAAGAATTTTAACATACTTTATCCCGATTAAATGGGGATATGTGTACATATAAGTGATCTATTTTGTTCTTTAACTGTTATTTTTAAAATTTTCTGTAATATTGAATCGAGGAATATAAATTAAGCAAACAATGTTTTAATTTAAATAGAACCTATAAAAGAAAACATTCTGACACTTTTTTGTCCATCAAATGGTACTTTTTTTACTGAACTAATTTCAAAAATTAAATTAAAACATTCTAAAATTCTATACTATTACTTATTGGTACTATTTTGTTGTTCAAATGGTTATTTAGTTATCGTTTTTCTTCATTGGTACACAAAAGTAAAGCTATAGATAAACTTTATAGCGACGAAAATATATTTTAAAAGAGTGTTCACATGATAGTCCTTTAATACTTTTGTAATCCAAATTTTGGTATAATTTAATTTTGATAAGGGTAGCGTAGCATCCATGGTACGCTAGTCTTTTATAAAATTAACGTGCAGATCTTCTACTAGGTGGGGTTGTGGGGTTTAAATAAAAAACAAAGACACTATAAGTTGGTATAATTCATAGCTAATTAGAGTTCGATCCTCACGAACTTTATAGTAAATCTTACACATATATTCAATAAAAACTCTTTTTTTATTTTATTTAATACAAAATTTTCTTATTTTTATTCGTTTACTTAAAATCTACATAATTTTTATGGCATTTCATTATAAATTTATTTAAAACAGTTTAATTCAATATTTAGTAATTAAATACCTTTCTAAAATAAAACTATGACAGTAAAAGGCTTATAACCTAAATGAACAGAAATTGGCAATTTATGGAATTTATTTTGTAATTAACTTAATATATATAACTGACCATTTTCCTCTCTTCATTTCTAAAAAAAATACACATAAAACCAACACCAGTACCCAATCGTTTCTTTGTCTTAAAATAAAAATACATATCTGCGTCTAAAAACTAAAATAAATATTGCTTTAGTCCATCATTTGTTATGCCTGCAAGAGAAGGGGAAATTGACTAAAACCTAAAGGAAATCAGTTCCATATGTTGCAGGCACAACAAACAAATCCAGTATTTAATATTACTAACTTAAAGTCTAATTAAATGTAAGTAGTTAATAGAGGAAGAGGGCTTTTATGGTGGCATTAAATTAATTTAAATTTTAAGATTTCTGCGTCTATTGCCAATATTTGACCATTCCACTGGTATCGATGCTGAGACATCATACTTGCTTGTCGCACAATTTTGCAATTTTTGTGCACGCTCGCAACGACGACTTACTGACCAGTAGGTAAATCCTTTAGGACATCTAAATATTTGTCCTTCTAAGCGTTGAGTTTGTGCTGAAAACTGACATTTGACAAAGAGCTGAGCACACTCATCACTATTTAGGGCAAAGTGTCCCTCATTGGGACACAGGGGAGCAGTTGAACGAATTTGAATCTAAATAATTTGGAAAACAAATGATACTTAAATTGAATTATTATAGAAAAATTCAACTTTCTCTTACCGTATGACTATGTTTGTACTCCTCTTCAAAAAGTACAGTTTGCGTTCTAGACTTTATCTCACAATCATCGCCAGAATTTGGTGCATCACATCTGTTAAGGCTTTCGTGGTATACAGTGCCATTTGGACATTTAAATACAACTATACTTTGATCGTAACTATCGGCTTTTTCAGTACATTGGTAGAACATATTGCAATGTTTAGGATGACGTCTAAAGCCTGTCGGGCATATGAAAAGATTTTGACCCTCACTGGTTGGTGGACAGGGTGCTGTAGTGTTACCAGAAGTTTCTGGTTGAATAGTTGATTCACCAGTAATAGGATCAGTTGGTGAAGTTGTTTCTGGTTTTGTTGTGGAACTTTCTATAGGTTGAGTAGTTGTAGTCGTATCTGTAGGATATTCAGTTGTAGTCTGTTCTGGTTTTCCCGTAGTTGTGGTGTCTTTGGATTTTTCCGTTGTTGTGGTTTCAGGTTTTCCCACAGTTGTGGTTTCTTTAGGACTTTCAGTTGTTGTAGTTTCAGGTTTTCCGGTAGTTGTAGTTTCCTTGGAACTTTCCATAGTTGTGGTTTCAGGTTTTCCCACAGTTGTGGTTTCCTTAGGACTTTCAGTTGTTGTAGTTTCAGGTTTTCCGGTAGTTGTAGTATCCTTGGAACTTTCCACAGTTGTGGTTTCAGGTTTTCCCACAGTTGTGGTTTCCTTAGGACTTTCAGTTGTTGTAGTTTCAGGTTTTCCGGTAGTTGTAGTTTCCTTGGGACTATCAATTGTTGTAGTATCCTTTGAACTGTCCGTTGTTGTAGATTCAGGTTGTCCCGTAGTTGATGTTTCCTTAGGATTTTCCGTTGTTGTAGATTCAGGTCGTCCTATAGTTGTAGTTTCCTTAGGACTTTCTGTTGTTATAGACTCAGGTTTTCCAGTTGTGGTAGTATCATTGACACTTCCAGTTGTGGTTGGTTCAGGTTTGTTTGTTGAACTAATCTCTGTAGTTGATGGATATTCAATTGTTGTAGCACCCGATGAACAATTGCCCGATACTTTATCGGCATAGTTACAAGTCTCTAGCGAAGAATCCCAAACAGTACCTTTAGGACAACGGAAACTATATACCTGGTAGTTTCCATTCTTATCTCCATCTACACAGCGATAATAACGATTGCAATCATCAGGGTCTGGGAAGAAACCTTCACTAGTACAGGTATGATTTATGGGTTCCATTGTAGTGCTTTCATACTCTTCTGTAGTAGTCGATATTGAGGATGTTTCAGTAGTGGTAGGTACATAACCAGGCTTATCAGTGGATTGTACAGTAGTGGGATACACCGAAGAAGTTTCTGTAGTTGTAGGAGATGTCATTGTAGTGTTAGGGTTTTCAGTAGTTGTAGGTGAAGTAGTGGAAGTAGAAGCCCCTACTTCCGTCGTTGCGGGAGAGTCTGTCGTACTAGGTACATATCCTGGTTTATCTGTTGGTTGTTCGGTGGTAGTAGGTTTTGTCATTGTCATAGAGGTGGTTTCCACAGGAATTGAAGTGGTTGAATCAGTTGGCTTATATGTGGTTGTTTCATATCCAGTTGTGGTCGTCTCTATTTGCTCAATTTGACCTTCACAACGCTCTACATTGGCTGCATGGTCACATGTTTGCTTGTCTTCATTCCAACCTGTTCCCTTGCCACACATAAATGCATGCTGTTCTAGTTTGTTTCCATTCATTATACATCTATAAAATTTACGACAATTATCGGGATCAGCCATAAATCCTTCACCTGGACATTTTTTACCTGCCGGAAGATTAGGCACTGGCGTGGTTGAGGATGGTTGCATGGTTGTAGTATAATCCGTAGTAGAGGATGGTAAATCAGTTGAACTAGTCGTAGGTTCAGTTGTAGGTTTTGTGATGGGCATGGTAGTGGTAGGAGTTTGTGTGGTAGTTGTGGGCGTTAGTGATGACATGGTAGTTGTCTGAGGAGCTGTTGTAGGCTTATCATATTCGGTAGTAGTATGACCTGGCGACGAAGTTGTCGTATATTCCATTGTTGTAGTTTCCACTTCGGGTTCTTCAGTTTGTCCCTGACAACGTTCGATATTGTCTCTGTGGTCACACGTCTGTTTTTCTTCATTCCAGCCAGTACCTTTAGCGCACATAAACTCATATTTGGAGTATCCATTACCACTTTTCTCACAGCGATAAAATTTGCGACAATTATCGGGATCAGCCATAAAACCTTCTCCATTACAATTCTTTCCTGGTGGTAAGTTCGGAATAGGTGTGGTTGATGTTGGTTGCATAGTGGTAGTGTAATCTGTAGTAGTGCTGGATTCTGTTGTAGTTGATTGTACAATAGTTGTTGGATGTTGGGTCGTTGTCGTTGGCTTTTGTGTAGACATTGTTGTTGTCTCATAGGCAGTAGTTGTAGGCTTTTCATATTCCGTAGTAGTTGTTGGTTTCACATATCCAGCAGTTGTTGTCTCACTTGTTGTAGAACCTCCAGTAGTATATTCTATTGTTGTAGTTTCCGGTTCAGGTTCTTCGGTTTGTCCTTGACAACGCTCAATATTATCTCTGTGATCACATGTCTGCTTTTCTTCATTCCAACCTGTGCCTCTAGCACACATGAATTCATGTTTTGAATAACCATTTCCGCTCTTCTCACAGCGATAGAATTTGCGACAATTATCTGGGTCTGCCATAAAACCTTCTCCTTTGCAGAGCCTTCCAGGTGGTAAGTTGGGTACCGGAGTAGTTGATGTTGGTTGCATAGTTGTAGTATAGTCTGTGGTAGTACTTGGTTCAGTAGTCGTAGGCATGGTAGGTTGGGTGGCAGCTGGAGAAATTTGAGTTGTTGTGGTAGGTTTTTGATTTTCCATTGTTGTTGTTTCATATGAAACTGTAGTAGTTGTAGGTTTCTCATATCCAGTTGTTGTTGTGGGCTTTTCGTAGCCAGCTGTAGTAGTCTCACTTACTATGCTACTAGTTGGCCTGTAAGTGGTATACTCTACGGTAGTTGTTTCGGGATCTGGTTGTTCAGTTTGTCCTTGACAACGCTCGATATTGTCTCTATGGTCACAGGTTTGTTTATCTTCATTCCAGCCGGTTCCTTTAGCGCACATAAATTCATGTTTGGAATAACCGTTGCCACTCTTCTCACATCTATAAAATTTGCGACAATTGTCGGGATCAGCCATAAAACCTTCTCCGCTACATTTATTGCCTGCTGGTAAATTTGGAACAGGAGTAGTTGAAGTTGGTTGCATTGTTGTGGTATAATCTGTAGGTGTAGTACTTGGCTTAGTGGTACTGGGTTTCAAGGTAGTTGTGTAATCTGTAGGAGTAGTACTTGGTTCAGTGCTACTAGGTTTGGTGGGTTTCATGGTAGTTGAGGGAGATTGAGTTGTTACGGTTGTTGATTCATATGAAGGGGTGGTAGTTGTGGGCTTTTCGTATCCTGTTGTTGTCGTAGGAGGTTTTTCATAATCGGCTGTAGTAGCTTCACTTGCTTTGCTTGTTGTGGAGCTGCTGGTCGTATATTCCATGGTTGTTGTTTCAGGCTCTGGTTCCTCAGTTTGTCCCTGACAACGCTCAATATTGTCTCTGTGATCGCATGTTTGTTTTTCCTCATTCCAACCTGTACCTTTAGCACACATAAATTCATGCTTAGAGTAACTATTACCAGTTTTTTCACAGCGGTAGAATTTGCGGCAGTTGTCAGGGTCCGCCATAAAACCTTCACCATTACATTCCTTTCCTGGAGGTAGATTAGGTATCGGTGTTGTTGAGGTAGGTTGCATGGTGGTAGTGTAATCGGTAGTAGAAGTGCTGGGCTCATTGGTTGTTGGTTTTTGAGAAATCGTTGTTGTTTCATAGAAAGTTGTTGTTGTTGAGGGTTTTTCATATCCCGCAGTTGTTGTGGGCTCTGTGGTCGTTGGTTTTTGAGCTGCCATTGTTGTTGTTTCATAGGAATTTGTTGTTGTCGAGGGTTTTTCATATTCTGTAGTTGTTGTGTGTTCTGGGGTTGTTGGTTTTTGAGCTGCCATTGTTGTTTCAAAGGCAGATGTTGTAGTTGTGGGTTTTTCATAACCATTTGTAGTACTTTCACTTGTTGTTGGTTTGTAAGTAGTATATTCCATTGTAGTTGTTTCAGGATCTGGTTGTTCCGTTTGTCCCTGACAACGATCGATATTGTCTCTATGATCACATGACTGCTTCTCTTCATTCCAACCTGTTCCTTTGGCACACATAAATTCGTGTTTGGAATAACCGTTGCTACTCTTTTCACAACGATAGAATTTGCGACAATTATCGGGATCAGCCATAAAACCTTCTCCTTCACATGTATTACCTGGAGGTAAGTTTGGTACAGGAGTTGTAGAAGTAGGTTGCATAGTACTGGTATAATCAGTAGGTGTGGATGCAGTTGTAGTAGATTCACCGATCACTGTGGAAGTGGGATATATTGTAGATGTGGTGGTTGGATTCATCGTTGTTGGTTTCTCAAAAGTTTCAGTAGTCGAAATCACTGTGGTAGAAGAATATTTTTCTGTTGTCGTCGTACTCTGATATTCCATAGTAGTTGTTTCCGGCTCTGGTTCCTCTGTTTGTCCTCGACAACGATCTACATTATCTCGATGATCACACGTTTGGTTCTCCTCATTCCATGCTGTGTTTTTAGCACACTTAAACTCATGACGTTCATAGCCTTCTTTCGATTGAATACAACGATAGAATTTTCGACAGTTATCAGGATCAGCCATAAAGCCCTCACCTTGACATTTTGTACCGGGTGGTAGATTTGGTATGGGTGTGGTGGTAGATGGTTGCATAGTAGTAGTCAAGTCGCCAGTTGGTATGGATTCTGTGGATGTAGGTTTTACAATTTCAGTTGTGGACTCATATTTAGTTGTAGTAGTGGTGTAATAAGAGTCGGTCGTAGTTGGTACACCAGTAGTAGTTTGAATTTGACATCTAGGATCCGCAACATTAGCGGGATGATTGCAACTTTCAATTTCTGCATCCCATACTGTGTTGTTTCCACATTTGAATGAATGCTTTTCAAAATTTCCCTTGCCGTTATCAATACATCTGTAGAACTTTTGACAGTCTTCGCTGTCGCCAAAGAAACCTTCTTTGGAACACTTGTCATTAGATGATATTGGTTCGTTTGGATTAGGTTTTACTGTAGTAGTAATAGGTTGGCTGGTAGTTTCTGGATCTTTTCCGGAGGTTGTAATTTCGGGGTATTTACTGGTTGTAGTTTGGGGGTATTGTGTAGTGGGTTGATATCCTGGTATTGATGTGGTTGTTTCTTGTGTTGATGGCTCATATCCAGGCTTATCTGTTATTGTCTCCTGTGATATTTGTGTAGTTGGTTCATATCCAGGCTTTCCTGTTGTTGTCTCTGGTGGTGTTTGTGTAGTTGGCAGATATCCCGGTTTAACTGTTGTTTCTTGTGGCCTTTGTGTAGTTGATGTAGTGGTCTGAGGTTTCTGAGAAGGTGGCAAATAACCTGGTCCTGAAGTGGTTGCTGGTTGTGGTTTTTGAGTCGAAGATTCTTCACTACCAGTATTTACATTACACTTATTTAAATCATGGTTACATGTCTGCAATTCACTGTCCCAAACAGTGCCTTTGCCACATCTGAAGGAATACTGCGAAAATTTTCCATTTCCATTGTCTACACAGCGATAAAAACGAGAACAATCATTTGGATCTCCTGTGAATCCCTCTGTTTTACAAATACCATGTGCCGGAGGAGTAGTAGAACTTACTGCTCCCATTGGAGGCTTTTGTGTAGATGTTGGTTTAGCGGCAGGTTTTTGAGTGGTCGAGCTGGAAGTAGGTTTTTGTTCTGATGGTTTACTAGTTGTAGGTGTACTACTTGGTGGACGTTGTGTTGTTGTTTGTTGTGTTTCTGATTGAGTTCCGGAACCAGATCCAGAATCAGTACCAGTACCACACTTTTTGTTTTTAACTGCCCAAGCATGATTACATCCTTCAATTTGACTATCCCATACAGTGCCGGGTCCACAAGTAAATACGACTTTATCGTATCCTCCTTTGCTATTTTTTACACAACGATAGAATTTTGCACAGTCTTTAGAATCTTCCAGATATTGGTTGTTGCTTTTACAGGTACCAACGGGGTTTTGTTGTTGAGTTGATGAGCCTGATTGAGATGTTGATCCGGATTGAGACGTTGAGCCAGACTGAGAAGATCCAGACGATCCAGATTGTGACGAAGAAGAACCAGATTGAGAAGAACCAGATTGAGAAGAACCAGATTGAGAAGAACCAGATTGAGATGATGATCCAGATTGAGACGAGGAACCAGTTTGCGATGATGATGATCCAGATTGCGATGATGATCCTGATTGAGATGATGATGATCCAGATTGAGACGATGATGATTCAGACTGAGACGATGATGATGCTGATTGAGATGATGATGATCCAGATTGAGACGATGATGATTCAGACTGAGACGATGATGATCCAGACTGAGACGATGAACTGGTTTCTGTTGAATTTGATGCTGATCCCTGAGTTGTCGATTGGTTAGAGCTAGATTCTTGTGTTGTTGATGAACTAGAACCTGACGATCCTGTTTGTGATCCTTGAGTATTGGATTGATTATTTGATGAAGATGAAGAACCAGACTGTGACGAAGACTGATTGTTATTGTTTTGTTCCGAGGTAGAAGAACCAGTCGTGGAACTTGAGCCGGAAGATTGATTATTGGATGATGAACTGTTTGATCCTTGGTTATTACTGCTACTATTAGAAGACTGAGATCCACTTGATCCCGATGATTGAGTATTCGAAGAGGATGAAGAACCAGTTTGTGTTGATTGATTGTTATTGTTTTCTTCGGTAGAGGATGTCCCGGATGTCCCAGATGTTCCTGTTGTCGTACTTGAACTAGATGATTCATTATTGGATGAGGACGATCCTTGATTGTTGCTACTAGTTGAATTTTGTCCGCTACTTGCAACAATTTTACAATTTAAGTTTTGTACTTGTGCAGGATGATCACAACTGTTAGCTGGAGGATTCCATACAGTATCTGGTGGACACTTGAATGATACTTTGTTATAACCGCCTTTACCATCATTAATACATCTATAGAATTTATTGCAATCTTCTTTGTCTTCCAAAAATGTTTCTTCGCTTTCGCAATGTGTTGCTGGTTTAAATGGTTTTTGAGTTGTTGTAGTTTGATTATTATTATTATTGTTAGATTGCGATGAAGAAGAGTTAGATGTTCCCTGATTACTCGAAGAAGAGGATGATTGATTGGATGTGTTGCTTTGATTGTTACTGCTCGATGAAGAAGATGACTGATTTGATTCTGTAGTTGTGGTAGAACCTTGGGATCCGGATTGTGAGCTCGACGATGATTGATTAGAGGAACTAGAACTTTGATTGTTGGATCCTTGATTTTGGTTGTTCGATGAAGACGATGACTGATTTGATCCAGAACTTTGGTTGTTGGATCCTTGATTTTGGTTATTCGATGAAGACGATGATTGATTTGATTCTGTAGTTGAAGTAGAACCATGTTGTGTTCCTGATTGTGAACTAGATGATGATTGGTTGTTGTTATTTGATGAAGAGCCAGAACTTTGATTGTTGGATTCCTGATTTTCGTTATTGGATGAAGAGGATCCCGATTGTGAATTTGATGACGATTGATTAGAAGAACTGCTTTGATTATTATTGTTTGATGAAGATGAACTAGAACTTTGGTTGTTGGATTCTTGATTTTGGTTATTCGACGAAGATGATGATTCAGTTCCTGTAGAACCTTGCTGTGATCCTGTTTGGGAACTGGATGATGATGAACCACTTTGATTATTATTTGTAGAGTTCGTTCCTTGATTATTCGATGATGACTGGTTATTATTGTTAGATGATGTTGACGAGGAGGAACCAGAGCTCGATCCCTGCTGATTTGATGATGAAGATTGATTTGATCCCTGATTATTTTGATTGTTTGATGAGGTTGACGACTGTTGGTTCTGTGAGCTTGAACCAGAAGATGAACTTCCATTGCTTGCCATAATTCTACATTGTTCTTTTTGAACATCTGTTGGATGATTACAACCTTTAGAGTCTGGATCCCAAACTGTACCAGGTGCACAATCAAAAGATATTGTGTCGTAACCACCATTTCCATTATCTACGCAACGATAGAATCGGGCACAATCGTATTTATCTTGTAGGTAGGTTTCAGAATGTTGACATTTGCCATCCGGATTTGAAGGTTTTTGTGGTTTATTTTGGCCTTGTTCTCCGCTCGAACTTTGTTGATTATTTGATTGTTGATTACCAGAAGACTGAGATTGATTGTGTGAGGTACCTGTTTGATTGTTGTTATTTGATGATGATCCAGACTGATTATTAGATGAACTTGATTCATTGTTGTTGTTTGATCCCGTTTGATTTGATGATGATTCCGACTGATTGTTAGATGAATTAGATTGATTGTTAGAGGAATTGTTGCTGTTTTCCGATGACCCAGATTGATTGTTACTGTTCGACGATGATGATCCAGACTGATTATTAGATTCGTTGTTAGAGGAACTGGTCTGACTATTAGATGAACCAGTCTGATTGCTATTATTTGATGATGATCCCGACTGATTATTTGAAGAGCCAGATTGATTATTTGAGCTAGATTGACTGTTGCTATTTGAAGATCCTGATTGATTATTTGATGAACTAGATGTTCCTGTTCCTTGTTGTTTACACTTTTCGCGTTGCGAATCTGTAGGTAGATCACATACTTTGTCATCTTGATTCCAAACCGTTCCAGGGCCACAAGTAAACGGTACAATTTCTAAACCACCATTACCATTATCTCGACAACGATAGAATTTAGCACAATCTTCTTTATCGGGTATATAAGTATTTTCATCTACGCAATCAGTGGCAGAGGGTTCATTGGAAGTGCTATTGGAGTTGGTTGAACTTTGTTGTTGATTGTTATTATTGTTGTTACTTTGAGATTGGGAATTAGAGGAAGATTCTTGATTATTGTTTGCATTCGAATTTGAAGAACTTTGTTGATTGTTATTATTTGAACTTTGGTTGGATCCTTGACTATTTGCATTTGTAGAGTTGGAAGATTGTTGGCTATTATTTGTATTTTGTGAATTTGAATTAGAGTTTTGTTGTTGGCTATTATTTGACGAGTTTTGAGAATTAGAACTTTGATTGCCGCTTGAATTTTGAGAATTAGAGTTGGAATTCTGTTGGCTGTTATTTGAGTTTTGTGCATTTGAATTGGAATTTTGTTGATTGTTGTTATTTGAAGAGTTTTGGGAATTAGAACTTTCATTGTTATTGGAATTTGAATTCTGTTGACTGTTGTTCTGAGAGGAATTCTGAGAATTTGAATTTTGATTGCTGCTAGAATTCTGAGAATTTGAGTTGTTATTTTCATTCGAGGTTGTGTGATTAGTGGAGCTTTGTGTGGAACTTTCATGGTTAGATGATGAAGTAGATGACTGTTGGTTACTTGAAGATGACGAAGAACTTTCTGTGCCACTTGATTGTTGAGAAGATGATGAAGAGGAGCTCGATGAACTTGACGAACTACTAGAACTTTGTTGTGAACTAGATGATGACGTTGATGAAGACATTGATGATGATGATGTACTATTTTGATAGCTTGTATGTGACGATTGTGTTGATGTCTGCTCATTGTTATACTCATCCATTTGTATGCCTTGTTTACCTTGACATCCACCATTAGCACGTACATTTAACAAGTGATTACATGATTGCAATGATTCATCCCATGCTGTACCATCCGAACACCGGAAGCCAATTTTATTAAATGTACGACCATTCGAAATACAACGATAAAATACAGTGCAGTCATCTGGATCGCTCATAAATCCATCATCTTCGCATGGTGGCCCTTGGTCATTATCTGTACTGCTGCTACTGCCACTGCTGCTCATGCCAGCAGAGCGTGCTGATGAAGTTGAAAAGGAAATTACCGAAACACCACTTAATCCTGTGAGGCCATAATTTTGCCAATGATTGTATGCCCCATCCATAGCATTGCCATTATTTGCAATGCCTCCCTTAACTCTGGCTGCATTGAGAACATGCATCAAACGACTATCAATACTATCGCCATCATCATCAATTGAACTATTAATAACATCACCACCATAACCCCCAAAATAAACCCCTTGTCTCTTATCGCCTACTGCCGCCCCAGACCCAAATCCAGCTCCAACAACGACATCATCATCACTTGCCAATGTATCAATTTCATTTATATATTGTTGACATTCCTCGCGATTGGCCAGCATGGCTGGCATACACAATTTCAAATCACGTGAAAATATTGTACCTTTTTTGCAGTTTAACAAATATGCTTTAATGTAGCCATTTGTTTGAGCCTCACAACGATAGTACAATTGACATTCATAATTGTGTGCATATAAACCTTCCGCAGGACACGTGAATACTTCTGGCATTTCAATATTGCTTGTGCTAGTTGGTCTGCTGTTGCTGACATCGCTTTTCTCGTCATGGTAGATGGAATTTTCATTTTCATTGTCATTGTAATGCTGCAGTAATGTTGGCGATACTTCTATACCTGAAATGAGAGAAAAATAAACGATTGCTTGTAAATGAAGTTAAATGTTTTCTATCTTGTTAGATGTAACAGGATGTTAAATGTAACGTTGTAACAAAAAAACAGTTTTGGTTCCTGTATCAGGAGATTTAAATTTTTCTGTTTCTTCTTTTATTCGTTTTTGAAAGAACAATACGGAAATAAGATAAAGAATAATAGAATTTTAGTTAAGATTAAAGTCAAAAAGTTTAAGAAAAAATGAGTTGCTATTTAAATAGTGTTAGTTATTGTTTTAAATAAAGCTAATTTAAATCTTTATAGTTTTTAAATTACAAAAACCATTTAAAATTGTTACATTTGTTTAAAACAATTTACAATTTAATTTAATACTCTCAACCAACCATAACTCGTGGCACAAATCTAAGACGATTGATGTACATATTTTCTTTTCCTGTATATTTTATATAACTCAATAAAATTCTAATTTACTACTAAGTATGACTATAATATTATAGGCTTCCTGTAATTATGATTGCTGCTGGGGAGAATTTATTTGTAGACGGACCCTACATTGCAGACCTTTTGCCTATTAGGCACTAACTCAATTTATATCAATTTCCTTCCGTTAACAATTATTTAGTAGTACAATTTTCTACATACATTTATAAAAAAATAAATGTTTTTCTCTATTACAAACAGTTGGTTTGTCGTACTTACTTGTATTTATACGAAAATAAAAAGGATCACATTTAATTTAATAGCTATTAAATAAAAATGAAATTTTATTTGATAAATTACAAGATAACATAAAATTGTAAAAAATATACTTATATGTATATGGATTCAAATAAACATTGTTGCTGCCTCTTTGGCTACTAGAAATTCAGTTTTTGGCTCCACTTTCTTCTCAACACCACCAAAACAAAAAAGAGCAATAAAACGTTTACAAATATATTTTTATGGCGAAAATAATTTATGTTTTGTAGGGATTTAAAACAAGTGTCAGTTGCATAAAAAATATATTTTTGTACATATATGCAAAAATATACATACTCTTATATCCAAGTAGGCTCAATGTTGGATAATCATAGGTTTATTTTTTTTGGAAGGTTATTTTTCGTTATTTTCGGTTATGTAAAACAAAGCCAAAAGACTTTTTTATATATACACATACATTTAATTTCCATATCGCCAACCATGTGTTTTACATGGTATATATTGCGATACATTATATTTTATTGTCCTTTATAAGGGAGTAGTTTTAATTCGTCCATTTGTTGGGGAGTTATTAAGGTAGAGTTAAAGGATTTTGTTGATTTTTAATCAAAATATTTAGTGGAAAGATCGAATTTTGTTACATTCATGTTGAAATCGGAAGTTAAGTAAGTAGTTTTGTTTCTTGGTAAACAAAACGGGAATACGTCCACTGCGTCTGTCTACAACAAAAGTTTTCGTTTATGTTAAAAACAAAAAGTGCAATATCAAACTACTACAGGGAGTTCAGCATACACGCTGCTTGGGTATAAGTGGTGCCATGTGTACTACTTCAACCAAGGCTCTGGAAACGTTGCAAGATATTCCACCCATTGAAACATATTTAAGATATGAGGCGGCGCTTACAGCCGAACGGCTCTTTACTTTAGGCGAACTGGCCAAAAGCGGATATAGGACACGTCATCAATGTATACTGGACACATTGGAAGGTTATACATAATCATCGGACGTGCCTGATCGTATACCAGACACAGAATATGTCGGAAACTTTGAAACGCTGATCCCAGATAGAATGTCTTGGTCAAGCGGAACATTAGAGCAAATACCATTAGGAATCCGTTGTTACACGGATGTCTCTAAATTGGGAGACAAAGTGGGACTGGGTTTCTATATTGAAGACCCAGAAACAGAAATATACCACCGTTTACCAAATCATAACACAAGCTTCCAGGCAGAAGTACGAGCAATAACGGAATGCGTAAATTGGATTAGAATAAATATGGCGCCCACAGCGCTTAATATATTTACCGACAGCTAGAAGGCAATTACGGCGATATCAGGCGATATAACTAAATCTAAGACCGTATTGGATTGTAAGAAAGCTTTAACTGATTACTCTCCCAGAGGTAAGGTTCACATCATATGGGTACCAGCCCACTCGGGAGTAGTCGGTAACGAAAGGTCGAATGTAATAGCTTTAAAGGGAAGGGAGCTCGAGGCAGTTAACCTGACAAACGCAAAACCATTCGACGCAACAAAAGCTGAACTAAAAATATGGGTGAGAGAATCCCATAAGGCCTCTTGGAATAATGAAACAGTGGGTAGCAAGACGAAAAATCTCCTCAAAATGAGCAAGTCTGAAATTAGTATGATGGTACGTATTCTGAGTTTACACACAGGACTACGAGCACATCTATGCAAAATTGGACGTGCGGATTCAGACAAATGTAGAGCATGTGGAGAAGACAGTGAAACTCTGGAGCACTTTCTTTGCCACTGCCAGGCAGTCGTCGAAGTTAGATCCAAGTATCTTGGAAGTGATGTTATTCCGGAAATAACATTCCTGACTACCTCTGATTGGAAGATTCTTAGGAATTACGTTCAGGAAACTGAGTTTCTGAACACTGAAAAATAATTCTTTCAGTTTTTTTAGGCCCGATAGTGGCCTAGGTGTATTTCTTCGGATTTGATGTAGTATACATCCTCCTATCGACCTACCTACCTACCTAAAAACAAAGTTCCAAAACAATATGTCAAGGCTGAAAATTAAGTACTTACAAAATATATTATTTTATTACTAGACTCCTTCTAAATAATGCAAACGGTACGTAGCAGTCACTAAATAGTAAGGTGTTGAGTAAGTACAAATCATTACCATGTGTTTGCATAGCCAACAAATATTGGTACATTAACCCCTTACTTTGCACTGAAAGTTTTTCTTGGGTTAATTATTCAGTGATATATTTTATACAAAAATATATTTTGAGATTCTACGGATTCATTAAACAAGTATTTACATATCTCATTAAAAAAAGCAGGGTATATCCTATTCGTTATCCATTAAGACATTTAAAAATCTTACATAAATATGTATGTACATCCCGTTAAAAAAATAAATCAATGTTTCAGATTTGTGCAAATGTGTAAACAGCGAGTAAAAAACGTTCACATTTTATTTTTATTTTAAACCATCATGTTACATCTAACAAGGCAGTTTTATTTACACATTGCAAAAACTAAAATCGTAAAAAAAACTGAAAATATAAATTGCAAATTTTTTTTCCACAATTTAGTATTTTAAACATAAAACAATGTACAAAAAAAAAATAACAACAATAACTACAAACATTGTCGCCTACCAAAAATTTTGAATAACAATAAATTATCAGTTTATAGAGAAAATGCCTTCAACCGTTATTTTTGGGCAAAATATGTAACAAAGAGAGCAACAATAATAACAACAGAAGAGTGTAAATGAAAAAAAAAAAAAGAAACGGAAGTTACGCCATTTCAATTTTGACAAAATCAATGGTGGCTTGTCGATTTCCTTTGGGCAAAAAATATCATTATTATTGGATGTTTTTATGTGTATATGTATATGTGCGATTGTATGTGTGCTGTGAAACACATAAAAACCTAAAAAAAAACACAAAAAGTGACCTCTCGCCCGGAAAAATCATAAAAATTGTTATAGTTGAACAGTTTGTTACGCTGATGAATTTTTATAAATATTCTTTTTTTTTCCAGGAACCAGTTTTTTCTTCTTTATCAATTTCGAGGACGACTGACTGTTGTGAAATTTGGCGCCTAAACAATTGGTAATTACATTACATACCTATGTGTGTATGTATGTATGTGAATATGAGTATCTCAGTAGTTTTACAAGCAGCCAAGGTATACCTTTTTGGCTCAGATTTGATAGAACTAGACTATCACAGTTTAGGGTCTAGAGATTTCAGACTTTGTTCTGTCTTGAACTACTGAATTTAAAATCTCTGAACTATAGAGTTTCTAGTCTTTGGACTATATAATATATATTATCTCTATTCTTTAAAATACTGAGTTTTAAAACTCTGAATTATAGAGTTTCTAGTCTTTAGACTTTTTAATATAATGTCTTTGTCATATAGATGCTCTAGACCTTGGAATCCTGATCATAGAGTCTATAGACTTTGGATTATATAGTCTTTAGTCTCTGGATTAGAAAACCTTTAGTATATCGACTAAAGTTTCTAGTATGTGCACTCTGGCTAACTCTGGACTATTAAGTCTCTAGCCTCTGGCAAACTCTATCTGAAAACTCTAGACTACATAGACTGTAGTCTATGGACTATCCAGTTTACTTTTTTGTGCTTTTGATTATATACTTCTGGACTACACAGTAGTCCAGTCCAGAACAATAGATTCTGAACTCTCTTTTCATAAACTCCATTGTCTCTGATATATCTAGAATCTAGAGAAAAGATACTTTCAGAAAGTAGTTATTTAATACTCCATAGAGTCAGTCAACCCGAACTGCTGGGATGTTCATGTGAATTTGAGTGTATTGTTTTTTTAATGGTAGTAGTAGTAGTTGTTGTTGTGGTCGCTAACTGTTGTACATAACTGGTGGCTATAAAAATGTTTTGTTTTTTTTCATTTTAAATTACTTATGTTATTTTTTGTGAAAAAATTATTAGTTTGAAATATGTATTTGCGAGAATAAATACAATTTATTGCCACTAGGAAGTTATGAATTCAAATATTTATAGGATATTCATTTATAATTAAAGTGCAACACAGAGAAAATCAAATTCACAAATGATTTTATAATTTTTTTTTACAAAACTTGTAATGTTTATGTATATCGGTGGTTACAAGAAATTAAATGTTTTCATATGTATTAGGGGGGTTTTTTCTTGTATGCTATTATGTATATATGTATTTTTAGAATTTTGAATTTTTTTAATAATGAACCTAGTTCCCTGACAATTTTAAATTACCAACTTTTTATTATATATATTTTTTTCTATTTTCCAAATTCAAAATGTTATAAAAATTATTAATTTGATATTAACATCATGCAAATCATTGAATATCGCATTACATTACCTCTTACCGTTGAAGAATATCAAGTGGCTCAATTGTTTACTTTAAATGAAAGTTTAAAAACTGAAACCAATAACAAAAAAGCTTTTGTATTACATAACGAATATTTTAGCAATTATCCTCTTCTTAATGGTGGCAAATTTTCCCACGGACAATATACTTCAAAAATCTATCAATGGTCTGCAAGAATACCACAATTTTTGAAATCAATTTTAGGTCAAGACGCCTTAGAAGTGCATGAAGAGGCCTGGGATGCTTATCCTTATTGTCGCACCATTATAACAAATTCTGTTTATATGAAAGAACGTTTCTATATAAAAATCGAGTCTCTACATTTGGCCAATGATCGTGGTGATCAAGATAATGTTCATGAACTGACCGAAGAGTTATTAAAGCAACGTAAAGTTATTCACATTGATATAGCCAATGATACTGTAAGTGCCAAAGACTATCAAGCTAATGAAGATCCCACAAAATTTCAGTCGTTAAAAACAGGACGTGGTCCGTTAGTGGGTTCAATGTGGCGCCAAACCTGTCAACCAGTAATGACTTGTTATAAATTGGTGACATGTGAATTTAAATCATTTGGTTTACAAAATACTTTGGAAACATTATTGCAAAGGTTTGAGAGAAGAATTTTTACTAATTTTCATCGTAAATTATTTTGTTTAATCGATCGTTGGTATGATCTGAAATTAAACGATGTGAGAGTTAAAGAAGAAAAATGCGAGCAGGAAGAACATAATAAAACTGGTAACAGGGATTTAAAGGAGGTAATAGAAACAAAAAGAACGTCAAGGCATTAAGTTTTTTTTGGGAACTATCATTGATAAATAGATTATATAAAGCATATGATAAAAATATGGTCCTACGAACCAAAAAAATAAAGAAACTTTGTAATTATGAAATAAAGAAAATCTTTTGTAAGAAGCCGTAAAGATCATTTTACTATGTATGTATGTACTTACGTTATGTTAAAACCCTTATGGTCCTTCGAACCACAAGAAGAAAATTAAAATGAATAAACATTTCACAAAACTTATAACAATTTTTAATCCATGACGTAATAATATAAGTATATTTAGATTACTTTTGGACCAGCCCAAGTCTTTTTAGGAGTACTTTACATTCGTAGCCTCAATTTTTGCAGGGTAGTACAACGTATTCACTTAAGTAACACCTATAAAGCCAAATAAACTCTACTACTACTTCCTACAATTCTCTAATTATTTCCCTATTACCTTCATACATAATTTTCATAACTGTCATAAATGCAATTATGTTTCATTTAAAATATAATTTATCTTAAAATCGTTTAGCAAAAGCAACATTTCAGACTAGTATAGCGTAAGGGCATTATTAGAAAGTTAAAATACATTAAGCCATTAAATGCTTTTTTTCATTTTATTTTGTTAGTTCTATGGCATACATAGCATCACTCAGTTGTACAAACATATATATAAAAAGGACATCGTTTATAGTACATGAATATACAAGTAAAAATAAAAATGAATGAAATTAAAATCCCCAAAAAATCCACACTAATAGCAAAACCAACATGGTAGACAGACACAAGGATATATTTAGAATTGAACACACAATCTCATAGATACATGACTGAATATAAAGTACAATTGACCGTTTTATTATTTTAATTATGCATAAATGTGTACTTTATAACTTATGAGCAGAGTAAATTTGTTTACCGCACTTAAGTATAACTTATTTAATACCTACTACTTATATAGTATATGGATATACGTATACATACTGGGTATATTATTAGTACATAGTGGGTATATTAGACTGCCACAATCTTAAATAGGAAAATAAAGGAGTTAGGTTATGTAAGGTTGATAGGAAGATGAGGCCACTATAGATCCTGTTGTGCGCTCCTTTTCATGAAAAAATTCACTGAATACATTATTTTTCAGTTTTCAGAAATTAAGTTTCCTGGACGTAATTCCTATGAATTTTCCAATCAGTGTTAGTCAGGAATGTTATTTCCGGAATAATATCACATCCAAGATACTTGGATCTAACTTCGACAAATGCCTAACAGTGGCAGAGAAAGTGCTCCAGAGTTTCACTGTCCTCTCCATATGCTCTACATTTGTCTGAATTTGTACGTCCAATTTTGTATAGATGTGCTCGTAATACTGTATGTCCACTAATTTTGAGGAGATTTCTCGTCTTGCTCTCATCAGGGTTACCCCATAGGATTTTTGTGGTTCTACACACCGTTTCATTATTCTAAGAGTCCTTATGAGATTCTCTCACCCATATTCTTAGTTTTTGCGTTTGTCAGGTTAACTACCTCGAGTTCCCTTAGCTTTAAAGCTATTACATTCGCCCTTTCGTTTCCGACTACTCCCGAGTGGCCTGGTACCCACATGATGCAAACCTTACCTCTGGGAGAATATGTAGTTAAAGCTTTTTTACAATCCAATACAGTCTTAGAATTAATTCTATGCCTTGATATCGCCCTAATTGCCTTCTGGTTGTCGGTAAATATGTTAAGCCCTGTGGACGCCATATTTATTCTAATCCAATTTACACATTCCGTTATTACTCGGACTTCTGCCTGGAAGCTAAAACGGCTAAAATATAGAATCCCAGGCCCACTTTGTCCCCCAATTTAGAGCCATCCGTGTAGCAATAGATTCCTACTGTTATTTGCTCTAATGTTCCGCTTGATCAAGACATTTTATCTGGAATCAGCGTTTTAAAGTTTCCGACCCCATTTAATGCCTATAGTTGATCCTATCCACTATGTGGTAATATAGGAGTTAAGATAAGGGATTTTGTTCTTATTTAAACATTTTAGGTTTGTTAAAAGTTTGATAAAAATCTGATCCCGTCTAATACCACATACAAATCTATTTTGTTTGTTATATAAACGACTCATTATAATAAAATCTAGTTAGGAGAGAGTATTTTACAAATCTTTACTAAAAACAAAAAAAAAAAAAACAAAAAAATACTTTAAAATTACATAATTTCCCTTTGAAAATTTATATTTATTTTTTTATATATTTCTCACCACAATGGAACAACGTGTCCATAAAATAGTAATAGACAGTATATGTATAGTAAATATGTAATTTGATTTTGGTTGTGTCCCTTTCGTTTAGGTTTTATTGTGTGGTTTTGTTACTAATTTTCCTTTAGTTTTACTCTTTTCTGTAGTTTTTCACATTTAAGAGTAATAAAATTTTAATACTGAGATTTCTTTGGAAAATTTTATTATCAAAATCAATGAGGACAACAAATATGTTTGTTGTCAGTCATAAAAATTTCTTCTATACAAAACGAGAAATTACGAGTAATAAACCTTAATTGTTACTCTAGGCCAATGCAGGTCATGATATAGTCATAATAAATGAAGATTGACCCTTTCCTTATTATTGTAGAAAGGAAAGCACAGTGAACTAGTGCGTGAAATTTAATAAAATTTAAAGTACATATTACAATGGGATATGGGACACGTCCTTTCAAACACGTCCTTTGTTTTATTTTATACCAAAAGTATTGTATTCTAATTTTATATTAGAATATCATACTTTGTATTACTTTTTGAAATCAAATTATCCACAAAACCACTGTTTCCATCATAATTGTTCCAATAAATTTCTGTTTTATTTTTATATTGATACTTTTAACTTAATTGCATTTTAGTTATAGTCATCTAACCAAAATTGTCAAACAAATTTTGCCACTCCTGCTTGCTGCTATTATGTATAAACCTGCCCCATTACACCCTCCCCTTAAAAAAATATAACCAAACAATTTAGAAAACATGTAAAATTAAATATTTATTAAGTTTTTGACATACATTTCATATTCAATCTATTGGGTTCTTTAAATTTTTATTTGGATTTTTATGCCGTTCAAAATTTACTAGTTAAATAATGTGTAATTTGTAAAAATGAATAAAAATTGTACTCTGGTCCTTGTTTAGTTTGATAATGTCCCAAGTGCTTTTGGTTGAATGAGTGTGTGCAGGTTATTCATTGATGTAACGTAACGGATGTGCCAAACAATTTACAATAATGTTCACAAAATTAAATTTTATTATATTCTATTTGTTTTTTTTTCGAGTGATTTTTTTTGTCTACGTTTTGTGTTTGTTTTAAAGTACACAAAATTTGAGGTCCACTATTACTGCCTTTTGTCCAACATCATGTGAAATTTTATTTCATTTTATTGAATTACATATTTTATATTATAACACAAAAAAAGTTAAAATCATTTTTAATGAAGTATACTTGTGGAGGTAAATTGTAAAATTTACAGACAACCATGATAACCTATAAAATATATAATGATTTTAATTTAACAATGTCCTTATCGGCTTAAACCACGATAGATAAGAACAGAGAAACAATTGAAAATGGTTTCAAACATCAACAAATTTGAAAAAAGTTTTGCTAATAGTATCTTATTACCAAAAACTTGATATCAATTTGTCAAATTTGGAAAATATAAAAATTTGCAAAAAATATGTAATTAAACAAATAATAAAAAAATTAATTATACATACATACTTTTTGTATTATACGTGATGGATGATCATTATGGCCCACCATGTGATAATCTTTACTACATTCAAATGTGAATGATAAAACCCTGTATGACCAAAATGTCCAAATTTTACTCCCACTAGTACCCGGTAGTTCTTGACCGATCGCGCTGAAAATTTGTGTCTGTCCAACTATCCGATAGTACTAACCGTGGTGCAAATTTCATCCAAATCGATTTTTATACCCACCATCAAAAAAGATGGGGCGTATATTGTTTTTGTCATTCCGTTTGTAACACATTGAAATATTCGTCTAAGACACATAAAAGTATATATATTCTGGGTCCTTATTAGATTCTAAGACGATCTAGCCATGTCCGTCCGTCTTTCTGTCTGTCTGTTGAAAACACGATTGAGTCCAAATTTTGCATATATACTTTTAGTTCATGCAGTTCGTTTAGTATTGAAAATGGGCAATGTCGGTCCACGATTTCGCCTAGCCCCCATATAAGGTCCCCTTCAGAAAATGACTTTAACGCTCATAACTGTCCAAAAGAAGCACCTATAGCGATGAAATTCGACATAAACATATTTTATAGGAACCTTAAAATCTTTGTAGAATTTTATAAGGATCGGTCCATAATTGACCCTATCCCCCATATAAGATCTCCTTCAGAAAATGACTTTAACGCTCTTAACTTTCTAAAAGAAGCATCTATAGCGATGAAATTCGACATGAACATATTCTATGGAAACCTAAATCGCTTTGTAAAATTTTATAAGGATCGGTCCATAATTGACTTTAACAATCATAACTGTCCAAAAGAAGCATCTATAGCGATGAAATTCGACATGAACATATTTTATAGGCACCTTAATATCATTGCAAAATTTTATAAGGATCGGTCCATAATTGACCCTAGCCGCCCTATAAGGTCCCCTTCAGAAAATGACTTTAACACTCATAACTGTCCAAAAGAAGCATATATAGCGATGAAATTTGACATGAGGCACCTTAATATCATTGTAAAATTTTATAAGGATCGGTCCATAATTGACCCTATCCCCCATATAAGGTCCCCTTCAGAAAATTACTTTAACGCTCATAACTGTCCAAAAGAAGCATCTATAGCGATGAAATTCGATATAAATATATTTTCTAGGATCCTAAATCGCTTTGTAAAATTTTATAAGGATCGGTTCATAATTGACCCTACCCCCCATATAAGGTCCCCTTCACAAATGGCTTTAACGCTCATTACTAGCCTAAACTAAAATCGTTCTAGAAAATTTGACGAGGATCGGTCCATAATTGACCAAACCTACCCCCCTAATAATGTCCCTCTCAGAAAATGTCTTTAACGCTTTTTACTACCTTAAAA